ACGTATAGAGTGGCAAAATCTAGCATACCCGCCACGAAACTTAGGGTAACAGAGCACGGTCGATTGAGCATCCTTTCATTGTTAGAATCATGTTAAAATCCGCGAGTCTAGTGACAGTGCATCAGTTGAAGAAGTCTCGACTGTTTTGGAAGAATATCAGGGTTGAGGTCTGGTGAGGAAGAGGGGCACTCCAGAGCTACATATCCATGCTCTCCGAGCCATTCCAAGCCTAGGCAGGGAAAATGACATGGAATGCCTTGGAGAGCATAAGTATGTTGCGCTGGAGTGACCCTTTTTCTCACCAGACCTCAATCCAGATATTCTTCCCAAACAGTCGAGGTTTCTTCGACTGCTGCCCCGTCACTAGACCCGCGTATTTTAACATGGTTCACACAGTGAAAGGATGTTCAGTCGACCGTGCTCTGTTACCCTAAGATTCGTGGCGGGAATGCTAGATTTTGCCACTCTATTCGTGATTTTACCCTAGAACGATACGACGAAGACGACCCATGATAAGCCGGGACCATTTAACTAATGGCATCTTTGGACACCCCTCGGCTTGGCTAGTCTCAGAGATTACATTCAATCTGAATTCGTGCACAATACTTATGCATACGCTCAAATACTTCGCAATTTTCCTTGTGCTCACCCCCTTATGCAAAATGGTGGGTCAAGGAAGAGTGCGAGAAGCTTCATGCAAAGGTCTGCACTAACCACATAGATAACATGCCTAGGAGGGTGTGGATGGTGATCAACGCCAAGAGTAGGTGGACTAGGTACTAGAAACGTTGTTCGGAAGTTTGCTCTTTGTCCTGGGAAAAAACTGTCCGGATGTACTCGTTGTATATCTTTTGGAGTATGAGTTAGATCCAATGTACTAATCTAGTTCTCAGTGCAGTGAACGCATCCACTTTGTGCCTCTCCCAACGTGTACCACCGTGCATCTGCAGGTTTACCATACAGTAGTCTCAAAGCTAAAAACCAACTTAGTGCCAAACATCCGGACGGTTTTTTCCCTCAGTGTACGCTGCAGTCGCTAACGCCGAACCCACCGGGCGGAACACCTGGTTCTTGGACAGTTGCTGCGGTCAGCACATGTGCTCCTCCGGACGCTTCGTACAACACGAGCGACGCCTCAACCGTGACGTCGTCATCACCGTCGCCAACAACGAAAACCTGAAAACAAATAGACAAGGCGTGGTTCAGTTACAATCAATGGAGACAAACGTTATTCTTCAGCTCAACAAGGTCCTCATCGTCGACAATCTGGGATACAACCTATTAAGCGTAAGCCAACTAATGGCTAAGGGGATTCACCTGGAGTGCGACTCCTTCTCCAACGAGTTCCGACTTTACCACGGGAAGGGCGGTCTCTTCATCGGTCGTGCCCTCCTGAAGTCCGGTGTCTTCGTGTTGGACTTCGTCCCCGACCGCGGAACTGCCGACAGCGACGGTATCGTATCCTTCGCCGCCTGGACTCATCCGCCAGATCTTGATCCCGACTTCGACAGCGACGGCTTCTGGCACTCCAACACCATACCTGCAGCAGAAAGAACACGAGCATTAGCAGTTATCAGACAAGAAAGACAAGTACCCGCATGTGTCCCAACAAAACCATCACCTGCAGTATCGGCAGCAGGACCCAGCCGAGTACCACCACCAGCGACACGAGGACAGCCAACCGAAGCAGACCAACTTATGCCCGCCACACGAGAAGCTTGTCGAAGTCCCGCCTCGGTCGTCGCGTTCTTCTCCAACGCCGACATCTACCACCGCTCGCCCGGTCACCGCGCTCCCGACGACATCTGGCACCAACGTCTCGGACATCCTGCAAACAGCACGATACTTCAAACAATCCAAGCAGAAGTGTTAGAACGCAACGCCCTTCTGACGACGAGCGGCCAGGAACTCCGACGACCACGCGCACGGTGTTTCACATGCCCCGAAGCAGATCTTCCTCATCAACCTTTCCCAGCCCATCACAATCCAAGCGCACCCACTTACGCTCCGATGGAAAAGGTCTACAGCGATATTCTAAACATGCCTCGAGACGACACCGAAGCCGACTTCAACTACGTCATCACGTTCATCGACGCCGCAACCAGATACGTCTGGCACTTCAATCTCAAAACGCGCGATCAAGCCTTCGAGGCATTCACCACATGGCTTCCAATCGCCGAACGAGAGTCAGGAACCAAACTCAAGAGTTTCCAGTCAGACGGTGCACTGGAATACCAGTCACAACGCTTCAGGACCTATCTCGCGGAAAGGGGAATCCGACGCCTGGTGTCTCTGCCCTATGCTCACCAGCAGCAGGGGGTAGCAGAACGCATGAACCGGACCTTGCAGACGACGATGCGAAAACTGCTTCTGGGGATGAGGCTGCCCAACGCACTGTGGCCAGACGCGATGACACATGCAGTCCACCTGCACAACCTGTTGTCCTCGTCATCGCTCCCCAACAACGCATCACCACACCTGCTGTGGACGGGAAAAAGGGGCAGCACAAAATTACTTCGAGTTTTCGGCTGCATGGTACAATACAGACCCCACACAGCTCGAGCAGGACGCTTCACTCAACGAGCTCGGTGGGGACTACACCTCGGCATCGCCAAACATTTTCACGCGTGGAAGATCCTCGACATACAAGACAAAAATACGGTGGCATCACGTGATGTTATCTTCTACGAGCGACTGACGCTGCAGCATTACCTGGACAACATTGCCAACTCAGACGACCCCACCGACGGCTTCGCGGGCCTTCGCTCCTTCGCTGACCATGCTGCCGAGGCTGACGCAGCAGAAGAAGACGTACCTGGAGCCTCGGAAGCTGCCGGGCCACTCCCATTCTGTTCCATACCTGTTCCACTCGATGAAGATAATCCCCTCGATAGCAACAACCTCGACACCTTTTACCACTTCGCCGACCAAGGTTACGCTACACCGCACCCCGTCGACACGAATATTTCGGAACGCATCGGCCCCAATTTCTTACCTGACCCCGAAGACGGTGACGAAGCAGCTTATTCGGGGAATGACAATTCCCCTCGACACACACCCACGGGACTCCAGATTCTAGGCCTCTGGGTCTCCGTCCAGCATCCGCCGCCGCCTTCTACGCGTGAGCCTTCAACCTTGTCGCAGGCTCTGGGGGGGGAACATAAGGCAAAATGGAAAGAAGCGATGGAAAAGGAGTTAAAAGCTCTGCAAGACCGAGAAACATGGAAACTGGTACCTGCAACGAGCATCAACGGGAAGAACGTTCTCTCGGGGAAATGGGTGTACCGCATCAAGACCAACTCAGACGGCTCCATCGAACGATTCAAAGCTCGATGGGTCGTACGAGGCTTCGATCAACGATACGGAACCGACTACACAGAAACCTTCGCCCCAGTCTCCCGTCACACCTCATTACGCATCCTACTCGCCGTCGCGGCCACAAAAACACTACCACTACGCCAAATCGATGTCGCGAATGCGTTCCTATACGCACCTGTGGACGCTGAGATCTTCGTCGAACAACCCCACGGATTCATCGACGACCCCACGAAAATATGCCGACTGACAAAATCCCTATACGGGATCAAGCAAGCCCCGCGGCTCTGGCAGCAGCATCTTCACAGCCGTCTCGTAAAAATCGGCTTCCTACAGCTGCCGCATGACCAAGGGATGTACCGACTGCAGAAGGGAAGAGAGTATGTTCTGCTCATCGTCTACGTCGACGACCTGCTCTACATCGGCTCAACTACCGACATCGCCACCTGGTTCGAAGGGGAGCTGAAAGAAGATTTAACTCTCACGGTGTCCGACGAAGTTACGCAGTACCTAGGACTGAACGTCGTCGAAGACGACACGGCGTTCTACCTACACGCTGGAAAGTACTCAAGCACCGTCGCGAAGAAATTCGCTCTAACACCGACTGCGGTCCCAACTCCCTACCGCTACGGGAACAACGGCAGCGCCTCTACAAAACTCCCCGCGAAACAAATCCAGGAGTATCAACAGAAGCTCGGCTGCCTACTATTCGCAGCAGTAACCTGCCGACCCGACCTATCCTATAGTGCGAGTCAGCTGGCGACACATCTGAAGCATCCGCAACAGGAAGATCTCGAAGAACTCAATCGAGCGCTACTCTACTTCGTCTCCACGCCGACGATCGGGCTTACCTACAGCAAGGCAACAACACCGTCCGTACGACTACTCGGATACGTCGACGCCGACCACGCGGGAGACAGCGAAAATCGACGGTCTAGGACGGGCTACATCTACCGACTAGAACCTATCGGAACTATCTCCTGGCAGTCGAGCAAGCAGGAGTTAATCGCACTATCCTCGGCTGAAGCAGAGTATATCGCCCTTTGTACTGCGACCAAGGAAGGACTCTACCTACGAGAGTTACTCGAAGAAGCGAAGATCGCGACCCTGCCCGCCTTCTCACTCCTCTGCGACAACCAATCTGCGATCAAAATCGCGAACAAGGACGGCTTCGCCAATCGAACCAAGCACATCGCCCTGCGGTACTTCTTCGTCAAGGATGAAATCGCGAAGGGGAGACTTCAACTCAGTTACTGCCCGACGACAGAAATGGCCGCAGATTATCTGACGAAGAAATTGGCGAAAGCAAAATTCGACTACTGCATGCTCCTAACCGGGCAAACAAACGCCACCAGATCTGAACACTCCAGCACTCCAGAAACGAAGGGGAGTGTTGGAAATATCTCAAGGACTTAAGCGTTTCTGAAGTGTAACACTGTACTCGAGGAAGACTACAGGGGAGCACGCGAGTCAACGGAGGTTACACGAGGGGGCGGACAAAGAATGCGAAAGGACTCGAAAGGTCGCAACTGGAGGTTGCGACTGACCGTTACAACATCACGGATGGTAACCGAAGCGGCAATCGAGTCGCTGTGCGACTCGATAAACCGTTCCTGTAACTGTATTCTACAACTGCTTTCTTATCTACTATATATTGCTGTATGCTTGTTTCTTTAATCAATCACTTGTTCTCACATACTAGTACAAGGGTTCAACCGTCTCAACTTCCGCTGCACTACTCCAAGTCTCAAGTCTCTACAAGCTGGGACTTAGTCTCTGCAAAAGATCCTAAGGGCTTTTCTCAGCCCAACATTGCCTTGTCTGTACTCCTTCTGACTGGTCTCTCAGACCCTTGTCTCAGATGTTGGACTAGTAGTGCTGCCCTGAGCTGCTTGTTTAGGACATTCCCCTATGCAGTCTAGGGGGTGTGTCAAACATGTGTATTTGTCATGTTTGTATAGACTGTATAGGGTAGCCTCTTAGAGGGTACAATACTTAGGTATATCTGTGTGTACCCTCTCTCTAACATTATTCACTTCTTCAATTTCTGATACAGGGGGTGTGTCAAACATGTGTAGTTGTTATGTTTGCATAGACTGTATAGGGTCGCCTCTTAGAGGGTACAATACTTTGGTATATCTATCTGTACTCTCCCACTAGTCATCATTCAGTTCTCTCAGTTTGATATGAGTGACTATTTCAGCGGGTGTTATACCCTCTACAAGAAGTTTTAGTTCCACTTCCAAGCGTACAATTATTTAACATATACATATAATTTAACACAGATCATCAATTTGAGTTACCATGTGCGGACATAAGGATTTGTTGCACTAATCCAGTTTACACTCAAATCGTCACCAAAGCGAAAGGCACACGTTTTGAAACTTTATTAATCCTTCGAATCAGTGCATGTCACAACAAAAAAGGATCCATTGAGCACCTGGCTGTACCCTAACGCAGAGACTGACAAACAAAACCAGATAACACAGCAGTCAGAACCCGACGGGAGGTTGAAATGAGTATTGGATGAACAACCGAGGGCGGAGGTCATTGACAGCCAAGTGATTGTTGGAGAGGAGAGAAGGCGGACCAAGGAGCACACTGATACATGAGGTACCTCATTGAGCGTAGTCTGACATGAACTGAGCCCACTAGCAGGGGACACGAGAGACGCGCGTGCTCTGCTTCTCGTCTATGGGAATGAGCTCGCTAACATGGCCCAAGCCGAAGCGGCCTAGCAGTTGACGAGGAACGAGTACGTGTTAGGAGCGGATGGACCGAACACTGGGGTGCCGGCGTTCCCATCAGCCGATTGGTAGTTGCATGCCTGCGACGACAGCAGGCGGCAGCGACCTGCAAAGGCGATAATGGTAGAGAGGGATAGGGTGGGGGGGAACGAGAACGGTCATCTCACGAGGTCGCGGCAAGGATCGATTTCGACCCCTGGGCACTCCTAACTGTGAAGACCAAACTAGTCAAGCAGAAAGTGCAATTGCTAGGGAAAAAAGCCCGTGCTACGTTGAGAAGCTCCAGGGTGCCAGCGGCACGGCAAAGTACGGCAGCGAGCGGCTACTCACCGAGGCCGCTGGAGCTCCGCTCCCACGTGAAGAACTTGACATCTTCGCGCCACATGTCGGCCGCCGCGTTGTAGCAGTCCGTCACCGTCAAATCACCCTTGTCCGCGATAAGGGTCGGCCCGGTGGCCGGCGAATAGCTCTCGTAGATCCGCCCGGGATACGCGCCAGGGAAGGAGTTAAGATTGTCGGTGGTGGAGGGCGCGGAGCCGGCGCAGGAGAAGGTGGGGCAGGAGGTGTTGACCGCGGGTGGCGGGGGGGCGGGCGCGCCGCAGCGCTTGAAGGCGTAGATGTCGATGGACGAGTACACGCGGAACTTGCCGTAGTTGCCGAAGCTGCACTGCGAGTCGTCGAACAGCGCGCAGCGACCTGCGGGTGGTTTTGGGGGGGGGGGGAGGAGGGAGGGGGAGAGAGGAGGGGAGGGGACGAGGATGAGGACGTTGGAGCGGCTAATAAGGAGAAACGGGGAACGGGTTGTGGAGGAATAAGAGACAGCACGCAAAAGTGCGTGCAGCATGGGAAATGAGTAAGGGGAAACCAGCAGAGGAACCGAGTTCAGCATGCGTTGCGGCGAATCTGGGTGCAACAATGGATGCCTTCCGGCGGTGAAGCTTCACCTTGGGTAGTGTCCTGCTTCTGGTACCAATGCCAGTAGGCACACCTATCGTTCGCCTGGCACTTGGCGCAGCAGTCCTCGATCGCCACGAACGCGGTGTTAGTGTCCTCGGGATTGAGCAGCGTGCCTTGCGGCCCGCTGTCGGTGGCGGAGGGGTGAGCGAGATAGCCGCCGATTTGCACACCGTTGTAGGTGGAGATGGAAGGGAGGGAGTCCGTGGTCGGGCAGGCGAGGCATGGCCCTTGACGTTCCGGGCATCTCCGGTAAGCCTGAGAGGCCGCGTCGACGGCGGATGTACCCAGCAGCAGCACTGATACAAGAACCGTCAAGAATCTAGGCGACATGGCGGCGAGGACGGTGGTCGGGGTGTATGTGGCGTGGATTCAGCTGTGTCGGTCTAAGCTGTGTTAAGTCAGACGAGAAAAGAATCAGGAATTGGCTTGGAGTGAAAAACAGATAAGGCGTGGGAGTTGGATTGGTGGAGAGAGAGTTGTAGCATCTGGAGATGCCCGCTGTCGGTGGGAAGAGCTGAAGGGCTCAAGGACAAGAAGAAATAAGAACGGTGTCGGCTGGCGATTTTGGACTGGGGGGCTTTCAGTCTGGTCTGGCTTTCAGTCTGCTCGTGAACTGCTCAGCTCAGCTCTGCTTTGCTGCCTGGTTGGGTTGGGGTGCAGGCCTCGCGCTAACAGGGTATTCACCCTTAATTTCAAGAAATTAAGAGTAACTTTCCGAGTGATTCCGTTTTTTTTACGGTGTGATTTGTTTCCGAATCCGTCCAGCTTACGGAAACAATTTCGCGCGATTCGTTAGCCTAACGAGTTACTTTTTCCGAATCCGTACGGAATATACTTGTAGCAAGGCAATCTGTTAAGGGCTAGCGCCCCCCGCCGCCCCCCCTATCCCCCACTCCCTAACCTTCGTGCATGATTCCTACTAGCGGAATTTGTAGCGGCCAATTCCTTTCGGCAACGGGTTTTTAAGGGGGAATTCCGTCTGTTAACGGGTAATCCAGAGGCGATTCCGTCCCCTTCCGGAATACCCTGGGGCTTAGCGAGAGGCCTAGTGGGGTGGGGATGCACGACAGGCAGTTGCCTTGGGGTTACCCCATGGCCCCCCACCTCCCCTCCCCTCCCCTCCTCCGAAAGGTTGGCTTTCTCGCGCTTCTTCGGTACGGTAACCGGCTGGCTGCTTGTGTGAGCGTCACGATGACACAACAGTCCGACTGACTGATGGTCACATCTCACCTCCTGCCTGGGCCTCCCCCCCACCAGAAGTGTCACCTGTTGCCGTGATCCGTCCGTGATCATCTCAGGTGCCCCGATGACCAACTTGATCGCTCACTGCCCTGGGGTTTGTGCACATCGCTCCGCCCCACCCGCTGTCGCACCACCAATGTTGCGTCGCCTCTTGCAGTTGCGAAACGGGAGTCGCTGAGAAAGGCACGATTACAGCGGTCGGATCGTGAATCTAACGGTCGATTGAAGCCTAGCTGGTCTGCTATTTTTTGCACGAAACGGCATTCTGCATTCGTCGGCGTCGTTGAATTCCAACTGCTGCTTCATAACCTTCGGCATTGTCGCTGCAACACCCATCGCCGAAGAACCCTGCGACGAACACTGTCAGGTGAAATTTCACAGTAACAATCCCCCTGATGCCCACAGAAAGAACTGTGGATGGAAGGAAATGGCAAGAATGCTGAAGTCGACGTTCACGCAACACCAAACTTCCCCCTGGGGCGCACAAAACGACAACACGCGATCACCAAACCCCGCCAGAGAATCGACCACGACAAAACGAATCAAGTACAGTGCGGAACATTTCAGCATTGACGGGTATTCTTCCTTACGCCTAGTAATTCACCAGGTAATCCCATTGCTAGTAATGACACTATTAGTGTAGCCTGGCGTGTCCTTTGTAGACCACCTCATGTGACGTGTGTTCAACTTCAACCATCATTTTCACACGAAACACATTTAAAGCATGTGTTGTTGTGATGAGATGTGGCCTAATGCACCCTCGTCTCAAAGCCGGCATGCGTTACATTACCAGCATCCAACGTTCGTGACAAAAACAGTAAAACATTATAATGCTGCAATATATGGATGTCTCCTTGGCCCAATACAATGTTCTCCTACTACTTTAAATCCATGTGTGTGCATCTTGCTCTCAAACAGACAATCCCATGCTATACAACATTTCCAACTGTCTCAACAATCCCCTGCACAATCAGACAGTTGTCAATGTCTCCCCGACCCCATACACGACACTTACTCCTTGCAACGAAGTATAAGCACCGACGGAAAGCGACTGCTCCTGATGTTGGTGAGAGTGATGGTGCTGATGAAGGAGAGACGATGGCAGCTCAAGGCGATGCATGCAAAACTGAAAAGGATGAGCCATGGCTGAGAAGCACATGGGATGGGAATATACAGGATAACAGGGAATTTGAAGCTAGGAAACAGGTACAGAAGCAAGCCAAGGCTCCTAAAGGACACCGGATAGAGTGGGATGAATGCAGCACTGGATAGGTTGACAAATGGGAGAGAGAGAGGGTAAGAGAGGTGAGAGAGCATACGCAGTGAGAGGAAGGCTTGGGGAAGCCACCGGAACAAGTGATGAAAGCGGGAAACTGAAGCAGCAGCACGAGGAGACAGGACCGCAGATGGTATGCCGGGCAGGTGTGGCGGCACAGGCAGAGGCCGGTCTGGTTCAAGAGCATCATCAGGAAGACACTCTGAAACCATTAATGTACAGCCGGAAGCAGCAGAAGCAGCAGCAACAGCAGCACCAATGCTGCTGCTGGTGGTTGCATCAGTGCCATTGGTGGTGGTGGAAGCGTTACTTGTGGTTCCTGCTTGGCTGCACATTTGGGTTGAGGCAGTGGGATGTGTATGACGCATCAGCAACGGTGCAAGAAACATGCACGGCAAGAAAGACGTCCGCATGCGCTAGGGTGAGTGCAATGAGGTGGCATGAATGTGTGCCATGGCTGACATGCATGCATGCCTTCGCGTGCACATGAGGGGACTGAACAGAGTGGTGCACAGGCGGTATATGAGCACGGTGAAGGGAGAGTGTCTCGAGCGCCGTGCCTGAGGAAAGTGGCAGCATCAGCCAGCAGCGCCACCGTGCGCACCGCCTCCATCTCCCGCTGCTTCGCCGTCCTGCACGGGGGCAAGAGAGAGACACGAAGTGGAGTCCACTCAGTTGGCAGAGAGACGCACGAGAGTGAACGGAAGGATGAAGCTCGTACTCGCGTGCACGGAAGGATGAAGCTCTCGACAGCCACACACCGCGCTGAAACCAACAACGAAACATTGACCAGCCTAGATCACGTCTGAAAACTTTACCCGTAGCACGCTTCCCATTTCCCCTTCCCTCCTGCACCCCGCCCCCCCATGACTTACAGCTCTGGCGGCAGCATACTGCTGAGGTTATGCACCAGAATGGCGCACGGCAGAGGGGGGACGGGGGAACAGGCAGCAGGTGGGAATCGGGTGAATGCGGTTGGAGGCGATGTGGTGGCGGCAGGGGGTAGTGGTGCTGGTGCTGTTGGTGGTTGTGGTGGGTGGGGTGAGAGGGCTAGATGCACTGAGGCTGCGAATTGCCTCAGCTCCTGTGTGGACTGCACATAGCTGGGAGGGGGGGATGCGAGGGTGGCATGGGAGTAAGCCGGGGGAGAGGTGCGGGGGGAGAGGGGGGTGGGGGGGAGAACGGCAGTGGCGGGGTAATCAGGTGTAGGACGCAGGAACGAACAGGTAAAAGCACTTGGCAGGCGTGTCACGGAAAAGAGAGGGATGGAACAGCAGGTGAAGAGGGACATGGACAGAGAAAGACGGCAGGAGGAGAGGCTGGCAGCGAGCAAGCAAGAATGGAGCTGTTTCAAATTTCTCACCAAGCACCTAGCGCAGGAATATTTGCTGGAGGGGGGAGGACCGTTATGGGTCGACTGGGAACGAATCTACTTACACACCCACCGCATGAAGATTCGTTGGAGGAGGGGGGAGGAGGGCGGCAGGCCCTGCAGGGATCAGGGAAGCGAGGGGTTCACACAGAGAGAAGAACGAGTGATGGGACAACGCGTGGGGAGGATGGACGAGGGAAGGTGGGAGCGGGCGGGAGGGTGGAGTAGAAGGGGGGAGGAGAGAGGGGTGGGGGGGAGAGGGGTTCCGAGGGTGAGAGGTTTGAGAGGACGGACGTACGGCGGGGAGCAGCGGCGGGTGCGCGTCGAGGGCGTCTGCCCGTGCGATGAAGACGACGGGGCGGTCGGGATGCGCGGCGGCGAGGCGGCACGCGGCGTTCAGCAGCACGGAGGACAACGCGCTGCACGGCGGGCGATGGACGGGCGGGCGGGCCACGCGGGGAGGAGCGAGAGCGGGAGGGGCGAGAGCGGGGGGAAAAGAGGCATCAGATAGTGGCCGCGATGCGCGGGACGCGGTGGGACGACGAAACGAGCATGATGAAGCGAGAATGAGGGGGAGTGCGGGACGCGAAGGAGGGACCTGCGGGGTCAGGTCAGAGTAAGGCGCGCTGGTGTGCATCAGCGGAGGCAGGACGCTGCTACTACAAGGCTTGATTAATATCGGTGAAAGACGCGGGAAAGGCCGAAACAAGCTTTCCGCGCACCTGCTCGAGGGTCCTAGCACGAGGCAGCGATCGGAGCCGCGATCAGATTCGCGATCGGATTCGCCATCGCGCGCCAGGCATCCGCGAGTATCCGGAGGCGCGCTGCGCCCGTCGCCTGCGAGCCCGCTCTGCGATTGGCTCAACCCATGCTGCTGCTCGGCGCGCTGCTCGGCGTGCTGCTCCGGTGGGGGGCCGCCCGGAGCAGTTGACGCGGAGAAGAAGAAGTCCGACGCGCGCATCGATTAGACCGTTTTGAGTTGGCGGGAAACGATGGGAGATTAATCGGCTGTCGATGATTCACGAACGATGAATCCATGACTACTAATCGGACGGCTTTATTCTGATCTGACGAGACGAGGATGCGGCCCGGTGCAGAGGCGCTGAGAAACAAATCCCAAGGTGGTCAAAACATGCGCTGTACTGACGGCTTTGCTGACGGCAAGCAGTCACAAATCGAAAGAGTAGATACCACAAGATACATAATATGTATTGAAATACGAATAAAGCGTCATACACCAAGGCTATATAGACCAATGCACAGCTGGAACATGTGTGTCCAATAATATATAATAATAAGCGCGATCAAAACAACTCTATTTATCATCAGAGACCTGCTTCGACAGAGGGGATTGCTGAGAGGCCACAGATCGAGGCGTTGCAGAGAACGCACTGAGCCTACCACTGCCAACAGGAGTGCCAGCATTGCTGGCAGCGTGGCACGGAGGTGGTGGCACTGGCAGAGGGCTGGTGGGAATGGGACGGGCAGGAACAGGCTGGAGCAAGTTGCCATGGCAAGCAGTGGTGGGATGACCAACACCAGCATCAGCACGGCCACTGGTTGTGCCAGTACCCGCAGCAGCAGAAGCCGTGGCAGGCGCAGGTAGTGGGGGAGGAGGAGGGGCGCAAGCCAAGGAAACAGGAGCAGGAGCTGGGGGGGCAGCAGCAGAGCATGGCAGCACCGGAGGTAAAACAGACACAGGGACAAGCGGCGTTGCTGCCGCCGCCGCTGCTGCTGCTGCTGCTGCTGGTGCTGAAGAAGGTTCAGGACAGGGGAAGCAGGCTGACGGATGTAGGGGACTGGGTGGAGGCTGGTGGGGCGGCACAGGAGCAGCAGGAGGAGGGGGAGGAGGGGGGGCGGCAAGAGGCCTTATAGGGCTGTCCTTGTAGAGCGTGTGCAGCGCGCGGGAGAACTCCAGAAAGTAGGCGGAGAAAGCTGTTGGAAGGGGGGGGGGATAAGGAGGGCGGGCAGGAGATGCGAATGGGAAACGTGGTGTTGATGAGATGGCATCCAGAGCGTCTTGCGCGTCGTGAACGCACAAAGAATGGGAAACCACAACGAATCACAAGCACCAGCAAGCACGGAGAGGCAGGCACGGAGAGGCAGGCAGGGAGTGGCAGGCACGGAGAGGCAGGCACGGAGAGGCAGGCAGGGAGAGGCAGGCAGGGAGAGGCAGGCACGGAGAGGCAGGCACGGAGAGGCAGGCAGGGAGAGGCAGGCACGGAGAGGCAGGCAGGGAGAGGCAGGCAGGGAGAGGCAGGCAGGGAGTGGCAGGCACGGAGAGGCAGGCAGGGAGAGGCAGGCAGGGAGAGGCAGGCACGGAGAGGCAGGCAGGGAGTGGCAGGCAGGGAGAGGCAGGCAGGGAGAGGCAGGCAGGGAGAGGCAGGCAGGGAGAGGCAGGCAGGGAGTGGCAGGCACGGAGAGGCAGGCAGGGAGAGCCAGGCAGGGAGAGGCAGGCAGGGAGTGGCAGGCAGGGAGAGGCAGGCAGGGAGAGGCAGGCAGGGAGTGGCAGGCACGGAGAGGCAGGCACGGAGAGGCAGGCAGGGAGAGGCAGGCAGGGAGAGAGTTAAGACCTGGATACTGTCGCCTGACAGAGTCAAACTCTGCTGAGTTCCAAGCAGGCATCCCACCCAGCCCTTCCCCCGCACCCACTGCCATCTCCGCTCCACCACCATCCATGCCTCCCACTACTCCCCCTCCTCCTCCCCCTCCTCCTCCTGCCATCGCAGCAGCAGCAGCTGCTGCAGCAGCGGCAGCAGCAGCGGCGGCGGCGGCAGCAGCAGTTGCGGCGTTATTGGAGGGTGGAGCACCTGAACCTTCACCCTCAGCACTGGCAAATCGTTCCCCTCCTGCTTCCCCACATTCTTTGCTCCCACCACCGGCCCCCGCCCCTACCCCTCTGCTTGCCCCTCCTGCCCCTCCTGCCCCTCCTGCTCCTCCTGCTCCTCCTGCCCCTCCTGCTCCTCCTGCTGCTCCAACAATCCCCGCTGCCCGGACTGCAATCTCTCTCTGCTCACAATTCCCCATCTGGCGCCCCACCTCCCCATCTGGTGACGCCCCATCTGCTCCACTGCTGCCCTTCCCTCCATCCTTCCCCTTCGCTTGCCCTCCCGGTGATAGAGAAAGGGAGAGGCCTGTCCTTGCATCCGTGCCGTGCAACCCGTCCACTGCAGGAGTGGCGGGAGCAGGAGAAGCCGCACCACCCGCACCAGCAGCAACGGTTTCGTTGCATGCAAAGGCGTTCGTGTGGTGGCAGCAGCATCTGCAGCAGCAGCGGCAGCACGAGACGGGCGACAGCACCTCGTTCCCATTGCCTGCTGCTTCATCCAAACCCGTTCTCTGTGCACCTTGCACGCACGTGCCATGGCGACCAGCACCTGCTGCACACAACTGCAAGTCACCTGTGGTGGGTGTCCCATGCACCACACTGCTGCTGCTCGTTCTGCTCGTGCCACTGCGCGAACTGCACCCACCAGCACCACCAACATCGCCACCAGCAGCAGCAACAGCCGCTGCAGCTGCAGCGTCCGTTGCAGGGGTAGGGAGAGAAAATTCAAGAGAGCCTGTGACATGGGGTTGGCTGTAGCAGGAAGGGGACAGTTTGAAACCAGAGCCCCGACCAATACCCAGCTCAAGACGAAGCCCAATCTCCCCCTCACTCTCCCCCCGCCTCCCCTCACTCAACTCCACCCCACCAGTGTTGCTGCTCCCCCCCTCCCCCTCCAACTCCCCTTCCCCTTCCGCCTCCCACTCCCCGTTCCCTTCCCCCCTCCCATCCCTCCCCACTCCTTCTATTCCCCTTCCATGTGTCTCCCCCTGCGCATCCTCCTCCAGGCCCCCATCCCCCTCCCTCTCAGTCAACACTGTGAACCGTTGACCAGTGCCCTCAAGCTGAGCCTCACACGCCCACTGCATACCCAGAGCCCCTGCTCCTTCCCCTTTACTTCCACATCCCTGTGTTTCTGCCTCGGCCGCGCTTGCTGGGGCTAGAACCTCGATTCGAGCACCCAGCAACATGGCCACTGTAGTCCTAACCCCCTCTCGCTCTCGCTCACGCATGGCTACCGCACACATTTCACCTATCCCTTCACCCCGCCCATTCTTAGCCGCCGCCTCTGCCGCTTCACCTTGCACTTTCCCCACCCGTTCTCCTGTTCCTGCAGCTGCTGCCCCCTCGCCTGCTCTCTCGCCCCCATCGCTTCCCCAGTCTACCACTCCAAAAGCACTCCTGCCTTCCACCAAGTGAGCCCCTTGCACCTGATCGCACTCTTCCCCCACAGCGCTCCTTGCCCCTTCCTCTCTCCCTGCCGTTGCCTCCTCCCCTTTCTGCCGCTTCCCAGGCCGGGTCTCCTCCCCTCGGCGCCCTCGTCTCTCCCCCCTCCCTCTCACTCCCCCCCTACCCGCGCCCTCTGCGCCAGCCCTCCCCCGCCTCCCTGCCCACACCAGCCTTTGTCCCACAAGCTCCTGGTTCTCCTGCCCCTCTGCTGCTCTCCCTCTCGCACCCGCCCTCGCCTGCTGCTTGCGGGCAGAAGCCGGTTGGTGTATTGCGCCTTTCTCTCCTTGCCCGCTCGTCCAGCCACCAGGCGAGGTGGCACGTGTGTCATGTGCTTTTTCGGCAATGCTATCACCTGCTGCTGCTGCCGCTGCTGCCGCTGCTGAGGGTGCAACAGCAGCAGGAGCGGGAAGGTCAAGTGTTGCTGCAGCATCTCGGACGTGTTGCTCCCCTTCCTCATGCGGCTTTAATGTCTGCTTCTGCTGCTGTGCCTGCTGCGGCTGCAGGTGAAGGGGTTGCAGCGGCAAGCGCAGATACCACGCGGGAGGAGCTGCTTGCTCCATTGGAAAGCCAGCCTCTGCACTTGCTGCTCCTGCTCCTCCTCCCGGTGTTCCTCCTGCTGCTCCTGCTCCTCCTGCTCCTGGTGTTGGCGATGCTGTACCCGCTGCCGCTGCCGCTGGTGCTGTGGTTGCCGTGGGTGCTTTAGCTTGGATGGGCGACGGGGCAAGAGGGGAGCGGAAGACGGGCGCCGAGAGAGCCACTGCGGCGGCATTGACTGCTGTAGTGGCGGGGGATGATGGGGAGGCGCGCTCTGCTGGGTGAAGGGCAGCAGTGGCTGCTGTGAGTGCACGGGCAGTGGGGACGGGCGCAAGAGGGAGCCGGGACGGGGTAGGAACAGCAGAAGGGTGGGGGGAGGAGAAGAGAGCGGAGAGCGGAGAGAGTGGGGGTTGGGAGGGAGAGGACGAGGCAAGGTTCGGCAGACAGGGGCGAGGTTGGAGAGGAGACGGGGAGACGGCACTGCGGGCATTAGGTGTTGGTGTTGCACCGTGGGCAGCGGGAGAAGCGATACGAGCAGCGGGAGAAGCGTTGCGGGCAGCAGGAGCAGCGGGAGCAGCGGGAGCAGCGGGAGCAGCGGGAGCAGCGGGAGCAGCGGGAGCAGCGGGAGAGGCAGTGCGAGAGTCTGATGGGAAGACGAGCAGCCTTGACGCCTTGCTCTTGGGCCCGCCTCGCTTGCTCTTGCCCGCTGCTGCAGGCGATGGGAACAGGCCAGCCGCAGGGCCAGCCGCAGAGCCAGCAGCGGAACTATCAGCCGGTGAGGTGCCAGCAGGTGATGAGGCGGCAAGAGGAGATAAGTCAAGCGTGGGGGCGGCAGCAGCTGCAGCAGCTGCGGCAGCTGCAGCAGTAGCTGCAACAGCAACAGGTGATGAGGCTGCAGGAGATGCGGTAGCAAAAGGAGCAACAGCAGCAGCACTGGAGCCAGCAGCGGAATTGAAAGCACAAGCCGGAGCAGCAGGAGCAGCAGCAGCAGGTGGCACAGAGTGAATGGCGGCAGCCCGTAGCGGACTAGGCGCCACACAGCGCACAGCAGGCAGGTCCCGAGAAGATCCACGCCCACTCCCACTCCCACTCCCACCTCCCCACCCTCCTCTCACACCCCCTCTGCCTCTACCTCCGCTTCCCCCTCCTCCTGATCCTCCTAACCCTGCTCCTCCTCCTCCCCTCTCTTCCTGCTTCCCTCCTGCAGCAGCAGCAGCAGTGGCAGCAGCGGCAGCAGCGGCCACTGCGTCTGCTGCGGCCCACACGATGCCGCGACCTCCTCGGCCCCTCCCCAGGTCCCGGCACTTGCTGCGCCCCCGCCCTGCCTCGCCTTCCTCCCCTAGCCGAGCACGTTTACGGGCTGAGGGTTGTCTTGGGGGCAGGGATGGGGAAAGGGCCTGACTTGCACATGATTGCTGCTGCTGCTGCTGCTGCTGCTGCTGCTGCTGCTGCTGCTGCTGCTGCTGCTGCTGCTGCTGCTGCTGCTGCTGCTGCTGCTGCTGCTGCTGCTGCTGCTGCTGCTGTTGTTGCTGCTGTTGTTGTCGTTGCTGTTGTTGCTGCTGCTCGGGTAGATGTGTTGACTCTTGCTGCATGCTGTACTGTTGGTGTGGGTTGTTCTCTTTAAACTGTAGACGGCGGCCATCCACGCAACCCATTACACCTGTATTCCCCATGCTTGCCTCATTGTCAGCAGCACCACCACTGGCACCGGCACCACCAACACCAGCCTCCGCCGTCCCTTGATCGACTGACCTGCCTACCCCGTCTGCTGCTGCCGTACACATCCCTTCACCTCCTCTCTCACCTCCTCTCTCACCTCCTCTCGCACCTCCTCTCTCACCTCCTCTCTCACCTCCTCTCGCACCTCCTCTCTCACCTCCTCTCTCACCTCCTCTCTCACCTCCTCTCGCACCTCCTCTCTCACCTACACTCAGGCCATCTCCTGACGCCCCACCTGCGTGGGTGCATGGCAATGGGATGGGACTACCGTATACTGCAGCCTGTGCACCACCCAACCCTCCGCCTGTGCCTGTGGCAGCAGGTGGTGCTGCTGGTGCTGGTGATGTTGTTGTTGTTGATGGTGGTGGTGAGTGCATGGGGAAAGTGCGGCAGGGGAGAGGAGACAGAGGCGGCAGTGGGCTGGGTGCTGCGCCCCCGGACTGCGATGATGAGCCTGCAGAGAGTGGGCACGCCACGACGCAGGGGACGCAGTAGACACGGGAAAGAACGCCTTGAGCACCCAGGATGGGGTTGGACAAGCTAGACTACTTATCCCCACATCCTCCCCTCCCCCCCTCCCTGCCCCACCCCTAGAAGCAGCTTTCCCACACCAGCCCTTATTCCCAGACGCACTGCTTTTGAGGCACCTCAAAAGCTTTCCCACACCAGCCCTTCTATTTCTTCCCAGATGCGCTGCGCTCGTACTGGTACGTGCCCTGCTCACCTCGTGCGATGCTGTCGAGGCACAGCGCCACGCCCTGCGTGCCGAGCCTCAAGCCTCGATAGCAGCTCTCCTACCATCCCGCCCCCTCCCCCTTCCAGTGCACTCACCTCGTGCGATGCTGTCGAGGCACAGCGCCACGCCCTGTGTGCCGAGCCAGCGGTACGTGGGGCGCGCCGAGGGGCTGTTGCTGGGGGCAGCGGGCGGCAGCTTCTCCACCAGGCAGATGGCCGCCAGAATGTTGGCGATGTCGTACAGCCGCCGCGCCTTGGCTGGGGGAGGAGGGGGGAGGGGGAAAGGGTGAGAATGAAGCCAAGTGGCGAATGAGGGCGATGAAGCAGTTGCTAAGGGCGGCCGGGAGGGGCGGGAGACGCACATCGCCGCCCAGGATGGTGGCGATGTCGTACAGCCGCCGCGCCTTGGCTTGTGAAGGGGGGGGAGGGGGGCGGTGGGAAGGGGGGCGAGGGGGGTTGAGGTGGGGTGAAGGTGTGTTGCTGTAGGGGGTGTAGAGAGAACGGGTTTGGGCGAAGAAGAGATGCAACAATTTTTTAGGCGCCTCAAAACCATGCGTGAGGAGTCTATTTTAGAGGCGCCTCTAAAATAGACTCCTCATGCTGTAGGGGGTGAAGAGAGAACGGGTTTGAGCGAAGAAGAGATGCAACATAAACCCGTTCTTTGGGCATGCGACGTTCCTTGAGCTGGCTCAAGGAGAAAAGGAGACAACGAGACAGCACAGGAAGCAGCAGCAGCAGCAGCAGCAGCAGCATTGTGACGTACTCTGCAGGTTGTGCGTGTCGCAGGACACCTGCAGCAACGTCTCCACCGCATGGTCCCACGACAGCAGACGAGCCTGCAGCACCGCACAGCACCGCACAGCACCGCACACGAGAGGCCACCAGTGAGGAGATTTACAAGACGAAGTGAGGCCACCAGAGACGGACGACACGGCGAGGAGGCGAGGGAGCAGGAGAGGGGAGAGCAGGAGAGGGGAGAGCAGGAGAGGGGAGAGCAGGAGAGGGGAGAGCAGGAGAGGGGAGAGCAGGAGAGGGGAGAGCAGGAGAGGGGAGAGCAGGAGAGGGGAGAGCAGGAGAGGGGAGAGCAGGAGAGGGGAGAGCAGGAGAGGGGAGAGCAGGAGAGGGGAGAGCAGGAGAGGGGAGAGCAGGAGAGGGGAGAGCAGGAGAGGGGAGAGCAGGAGAGGGGAGAGCAGGAGAGGGGAGAGCAGGAGAGGGGAGAGCAGGAGAGGGGAGAGCAGGAGAGGGGAGAGCAGGAGAGGGGAGAGCAGGAGAGGGGAGAGCAGGAGAGGGGAGAGCAGGAGAGGGGAGAGCAGGAGAGGGGAGAGCAGGAGAGGGGAGAGCAGGAGAGGGGAGAGCAGGAGAGGGGAGAGCAGGAGAGGGGAGAGCAGGAGAGGGGAGAGCAGGAGAGGGGAGAGCAGGAGAGGGGAGAGCAGGAGAGGGGAGAGCAGGAGAGGGGAGAGCAGGAGAGGGGGGAATAAGAGAGGATGGAGTAGGACGATCCGGGGCAGGAGAGGAGCAGGGGCGACGGCAGGGGGGCGCCCCTCGTCGAGCAGGAAGGGGAGTGCGGAAGGAGACGAGAAGGACGACACGGAGAGGAGACGAGGGAGAAGGACGACGGGAGTTTCAGGAGGGGGGCAGGAGGAATGGCAGGGGGCGCACCTCGTCGAGCAGGAAGAGCTGCACGAAGCGGTGCGTGAGCGAGCGCAGGGACTTGTCGCTGCGACCCGCTCCTGCCGGCGCTGCAGGGGCGGACAGGGGACGGCGGAAAGCGGACAGGGGAGAGGGGAAGGTGGGGGGACGGGGGTGAGGGGGGACGAAGGAGACGGAGGGGGGGAAGGAAAGAGTGCATCATTGCACTGACGAGAAATTCGAGTCAGAGTAAACGAAAAAAAAGACAGGGAGAGGGGGAGAGAGGGAGACAGGGAGAGGGGGAGAGGGGGAGACATGGAAAGTGAGAGTGGGAGGCTGCAAGGAGGGCAGGGTGGCGTAGCGTACACGAGAGCGGCGAGAGGGAGAGCGCGTCGTCGTGCTTGAGATGGCCGGGCAGCGGGCTGCACGCGCGCCCGTTCCGCGCGGGCGTGCACAGCAGCATGGCCGGGGCGTGCGCCGCCCCCGCACCAACACCCGCACCACCACATGGCGCTGCCGCACCCGTGGCAGCAGCAGGAGTGGGAGCAATAGCAGCAGCGGCAGCGGCAGCAGCACGGGATGGAGAGAGGCCCATGGGGGAGAGGGGGGGGTCCAAGGGCGAGCGGAGATGGGCGGGCGAGGAGAAGAGCGCGGGGGGGAGATGAGCCACGCTGCCAGCAGGCGACGCAGGGGGGAAAGCCGCATGGGGGAATGCTCCAGGGGGGAAGCCGCCCGGGGGGAGAGCCACAGGGGGGAGAGCCCCAGGGGGAAGAGCCGTGGGCGCGAGCGCTCCTTGCAGGGAAGCCAGCGCCTGCGCCTGAGTGAAGTGGGGGGGGCACGCGACGGGGGCAGGGAGAATGGGGTGCAGTGCAGGTGGGTAAGACAGGGCCATGGGGGCGAGCAGCGACGCCTGGAAGACGAAGCGGAAAACGCTGGAGCCACGGAATGGGCGGGAGACGCGGGGGAGAAGGGAGGGGGGAAGAGGCGGGAGAGGCGGGAGAGGCGGGAGAGAGAGAGAGAGAGAGAGAGAGAGAGAGAGAGAGAGAGAGAGAGAGAGAGAGAGAGAGAGAGAGAGAGAGAGAGAGAGAGAGAGAGAGAGAGAGAGAGAGAGAGAGAGAGAGGACGAGAGCAATGGGTTACCTTGAGGTTGGCGACGGCCTGCGGGAGGACGGAGGCGCCGAGCCAGACGTACTCGTTCTTGCCCTGGCGCTGCACGACGCGGATGCTCTCCAGCACGTTCACGATGTCGTACACGCGCCGCTTGCGCACGCCTGCCAGCACCCGCAGCACCACGCAGCACCACGCAGCACCACGCAACCCAACCAAGCACAGCGGGAACAGCAGCGGCGGGGGCGGCGGCAGCGGCAGCGGGCAGCGGAAGCGGCGGGGGCGGCGGCGGCGGGGGCGGAAGCAGCAGCGGCAGCAAGGGGGAGAGGAAGTGAGGAGCAGAGCGGGATGGGGGAATGAAACGCGGTGAGACGAGCCTACTGCGAGAAGCTGAGCGCGTGGAGCGCGCGGAGCAAGACACAAGCAAGGGAAGCACGCGACGGGACGGGGAGCGAGGGAGGGAAGGAGAGACCGGGGAGAGAGAGGGAGGGAGAGGAAGAGGGACGGACCTGTGGAGGAGGCGAAGCCCTCGAGCGACACGACCGCGCCTTGGCGCGCGGCATACGCGCAGAAGAACCTGATGGGTGCGCGGGTGAGCGGGTGCGCGGGTGAGGGGGTGAGGGGGTGAGCGGGTGAGGGGGTGAGGGGGTGAGCGGGTGAGGGGGTGAGGGGGTGAGGGGGTGAGCGGGTGAGGGGGTGAGGGGGTGAGCGGGTGAGGGGGTGAGGGGGTGAGGGGGTGAGGGGGTGAGGGGGTGAGGGGGTGAGGGGGTGAGCGGGTGAGGGGGTGAGGGGGTGAGGGGGTGAGGGGGTGAACGAGTGGGGGACGAGTGGGGGGCAGGCGAAGTCTAGAAAGGCTGCTATTTGGAACAGGACATGCAAGGCAACGGCGTCTGGAGGAGCCAGCGAGGCGTGTGCCATCCGCACGACCACCCAAACGCTGGTACGGAGAGAGAGGAGCGAGAGGCGAGAGGAGAGAGGCACCCACTTGTGATGGAGAAAAATCTTGAGGCGCCTCAAAAGCACGACTACCCAACCGCTGGTGCAGAGAGAAAGAGGAGGGAGGCACCCACTTGTGACAGAGGGCCGCCAGCGAATGATCCTTGCGCACGTAACTCTCTTTCTCCTTCTCCTTCTCCTTCTCCTCCTCGTCTTCCTCTCGCGTCGCCTCCTTGTCATCGCTCCTGCTGTTCGCCTTGCCACGCGTCTCCCTTCCTACGTCCCGTGCGTTCTTCTCTACCTTCCCCAACATCCCCCCGCGCAACTGTCCCTCTTCCGACCTCCCTGCGCCAATCTCCTCCCCGCCCGCCTTCACCCGAGTGCGCGCGGGCACAAGCGGGGACGTCACCGGTGCGGCCGCTGGGGCAGCGGCCGAGGCCACCATTGCGGGGAGCTGGTTGCGCGCAGCCGAGAGGGGGGGGACGGCCGGGGGACGGCCAGGGGAAGCGGAAGGGCAGAGCGCGCTACTAGTGCTACTGGCTAACGTCGTCGCGATACGACGAGAGAAGCTTCAGCGCGGACTGCAGGGAACGCCAGCGCCAAATCGACAACTCCAGCCGCCATTACGCCATGGCCGGCGTGGGTGAGCGACGTCAGTCCCACTGCAGAAAGCACGCCGGGAACAAGAAGCGAGGGCGAATCGTACGCGAGAAAGCTTCGAGGAACGAACGACATGGCCAGGAAACGGCGTCGTCGTTCCTCCTATAGGTGCCACGGGTGAGGAGATCGTGAAGGCATGATGCGGGCGTTCTATCAGGCGCGTTCTATCTGGGTCCACCAACGAGCCCAGAAAACAACAACAGACGACGAGGAATGATCGCGTTACTCACGTAATTCTGTCCTTCGGAGCGCTCGACCTAAACCGAGGCAGTGTCTTTTAGTGGCGACTACTTGTGCACGCCCCTAGTTGAAAGCTGGGCTTTCTTGCATGTCGCGCGAGCAAGCAGAGGGTTTCGTGAGCAGAACTGAACAGAAAGTTGGCCATCTTCACTCCAGCATGTGGGTGGGAGGGACAGTGTCGCGGTGGTATGCGATGAGGTGGGGTGAGGATGGTAAAAATGCACCGAAGCTGGGAAGGTGAAGGAACGATCCAAAAATGGAATGGGGGGGTGGGAGGAGGGTGAATGGATGGATGTATGGATGCTGGTTACGCAGGTGGGATGGGATGGTTGGTTTTCCAGAAGAAGCAGCGCGCCTCGGCCCCCGAGGCGAGTGACAGAAGACAGAGGCTGCTGACTGGACCAGGCCAGACTGGGGCCATGCATCGCCATGACCATTCCTTCCCCGGAATTTCTCCCCGAAAATTTGGCGGGAGGGAGGGGAAAAATATGGCGCGAGCGAATGTGTATCCCCTCCCGCTCGACCAGCTTCACCCAGAGCTGGGCGGGCAGATGATCTTCCGACGGGCAGCCAGCCGATGTGAATCTGACCGTTGGTTTGAACATGCATACTCCATCGGCTGGAAATGGAGCCGTCCTGACTGCCGGATACAGTACAGCTGTATCAAAAAGGACATCCGTCGAAACTTTGATAATTGGCGCAAGCTCGTGGTCGTTGACGTTCCGCCTGCAAACGAGCCCAGCCCAGACTCACCAGAACAGCAGTCCAAAAGTTCAAACCCTAAAACGACCATCATCAGGCCCCCAAAGGCAGAAGTGAAACCTCAGAGCTACACCATGTTCTTTCCCACTGTATTTCTAGCTGCAGATAGTGGTACACTCAAGTTTACTCTCTTTCGGTGGGCATTGTTACCTCGCCATAGACCCCAGAGAATCGTGATCATTCTGGTTGCTCGCATGCCTAGATGCTACTGCATCTCAGACAGACATGTGGCAATCCCTAGTCCAACCATGATCTGACTATTCACTGTGCTTAAGAGGTTTAGGGTAAAGAGAGGTAACAACTATGGTAAAAGAGTGTGGGCCGCTGATGCCCTGTTGGAGAGGCGCCTGCTAACAACAATCACACCAACGAACCAATCAAAGTAGGTCTAACTACAATAATCCAGAGATCTTGTCCATGCACAGCAACTAAGGACACACCATCAATCCACCACAAGGTACGCCACCACAGAAAGGCCAACCACTCCCAATCAAGAACCAGGTACGAGCGCCTAGGCGTTACATTCTGTTCATCCACCACTTCCACGCATCCCCACAGCTCACGCATGAGCCACACAGCAGTCTAATGCCCTGAACCTAACCAGCGGAGACTGCCAAGCGCTGTGACGAGTCCCACGCCCGCCTCTAGTGTGGACTGACCAGTGGCCCTGACGAGGTCACATCCATTGGGCGAGTAGCAGGACGAGGGGGAAAAAATATGACGGGACAGGAGAAGTGGGTAGGATGAGTAGCAAAATCATAGGAGCACAAAAGATGAGTGGCAATGCAGGTGAAGTGTTAATGTTTGTTCGTGCAATAACTACCTCTCCAAGACCCCCCCAAATGTATGTGCAGCACTGCTTGGTAACCATGTGCGCTATGCTATAATCGGCCCATCGTCAGACCGTTCATTCACAAATCTTGAACCCCATATGCACTCATGAAAAGCCTGTCATCTCCGTGAATGACCCCTCGATCCCGCATGTATATACAAACCACCCTAAAGCTAAATTCAATCGTTCTTTTACAGGCGACGATCAGATTTCCACAAATTAAGGCAAGTGCCTACTTGAATAACACACGCAACAATAACCCAGACGCAAGCACCCTCACTGACACAGCAAGCCAAAACTGCACCCTCTGCATCCCTCAACACCGTCACATGGCCGTCTCACCTGGGAGCGCGCATGTGTGCGTCTAGTCGAGCTTGACGGACGAGAAGAGGTAGTACACGAAGAACGCGGACGAGAAGAACCCCACGGCGCCCGTCGCCAGGAAGATCGCGAGCGTCATAAGCAGAGAGTAGCACATGAAGATGATCGCCGACAGCGTGCCGTGCATGCGGTGCAGGTCCACAATCAGGTAGTTGATCGAGTACAGGAACACGTAGAACGCCACAGCGCCCGACGCGAAGAAGCTGCGCCACCACCAGCGGTAGTCCTCCATGGTCAGCTGCAGGTAGGTGAACACCACGGCCACTTCCGCGCAGACGACAATGAGCAGGATGAGCACGATGAAGAGGAACCCGAAGCCGTAGTAGATGCGTTGCATCCACATGGACGACATGATGAAGAACAGCTCGATGTACAGCGTTCCGAACGGCAGGATGCCGCCGCCGATGATCAGCAGCCACGGGGAGTAGCTCTGCTCCGGGATCTGGCGCGGGATCTGGTTCGTGCGCACGGGGTACTGCAGGCGCTCCGCCCTGAAGCCCGCGCGCGTGCCGGCGATGGTGAGCGGCACGGAGATGACGAACCAGATGAAGAAGAGGTAGAAGTAGAGCGCCAGCGGCACGGCACCGGTGCTGCCCGTGCCCCACAGCAGGAAGTTCACCAGGGTGAGCACAATGGCGCAGATACCCGGGAAGAAGCACGCCACCTTGAACGCCAGCACCACGGCTCCCTCCGTCAGGCCGGTAAGAGTCACCCACAGGCGCGCCCCCACGTAGCCAGCGGCGGCGCCGAGCATCAGGTACAGGAACACCATGCCCATCAGCAGCGCTCCGCGCGACGCCGGCGACATGAACCCGAGCGCGGCGAAGAAGATGGTAACCGTCGCCATGGCGATGAGCTGCGTGCCGTTGGCGACGACGACGCAGAGGATGCCCGGGTAGTTGGGCGTGCGGAACACGTCGCCCACCACGAGCTTCCACCCACTCTCGTCCGCCAGCTGCTGCGCCTCCTCCTTGTCCAGCTGCTCGATCTTCGCCAGATCGCGATGCACGGAGCGTAGGAGAATCACGAACACCATGCCGGCGAGGAAGGAGATGACCATGAGCGAGTTGAGGATGGAGAACCAGTGCACCTGGTCGCTGCGCATCTTCAGGTACGCGTCCCACCGGCTGGCCCACTGGATAGGGCTCTTCTCCCACAGCACGTCGAAGGTGAACACGATCGTCTCGCCCGGTGCGATGGGCTGTGGATCGGTCTTGAAGCAGTCCACGGGATCCAGAGCGGTGTAGCGCGGTTTCGACGAATCCGGGACGCGGCGGATGCTGCACGCAGCTGACTCGAATCCGACAACCAGATAGCCGGAGTTGTTCTTGCCCTCGGGGTACCCCTCCTCTGGGAGCACATCCAGCGTGGAATCGCCGATGGACATGCCGGCGAGGCCGGCGGGAGTCTCCTTATACTCATGCACGAGAACCTTAAAAAGGATGTGATTGTAGATGTAGTACTGGCCGTTGCTGACGTAGCCGATGGGGAAGCCGGTGAGGATGTCGCCGGGGTTCTCCTCCAGCGCGTACAGCGTCACCGGGAGATTGTCCAGCAGCAGATTAATATGGTAGTGGTCGTCGATGCGCATCTTAAAGTGCTCCACGTCAGATTCGTTCAGCGGGCCGGAATCGCACACCTTGACGGCGCGCTGCGTGACGAGCATGTTGAACTTGTACGGCGAATTCTCGATCATGTCTCCCACCAGGACCTCGCCGAAATTCTCGTCCAGCTTCTGAATGCCCTCCTCGGGCCTGCAGAACGGCAGGCTGTAGAAGTTGAAGGGGAGACCCGTCTCGTTCGATGTGAGCGAGTTCACCTTGACGTTAATCACGGAATTCGGAGCATGAGCCTTCGGGTACATTCCAGGTAAGTAGAAGGCATGTGACGGAACTGCTAGCAGGGAGGCCGACAGCAGCACACACGCCAGGGCGGCTATCCGCCCTACACTGCTGAGGCGATACATCTTGAGATCTGGAATCTGACGGCCCTCTAGATCCACAGCGGCAGAAAAAGCCGCAAGAGGAAAATCCCTACGACGGGGACACGGAGCAGTTGTAGGGGACTTCGAGACTACAGATCCACGAAAAAACAGATGAGAACCACTGAGCGAGGGAGTGGGCAGATGAATCTCGCTGTGGTTAGGAAATGGGAGTTAGATGCAAGAAAGGAGAGGTGAGGAGGTGAGATGGAGATGTGAGGTGAGGTGGGACGACAGGGTAGGGCAGGCGCGACTGAGGAACAGCGGTGGAGCAGCGGGCGGAAACGGGTGTACGGGGAGGGGGAGGTTGTTGCGGGCCCCCGGGGTACGGGCGTTGGGGGAAGCGGAGGTGGTATCAAGGAGGAGGAGGGCGGAACACATGCCGCGATGTGGTCAATCTTGGCGCGATCTGGCTGTCGCCTCCCCGACGGAGCATGTCTGTCAAGCGGAAGATGGGGATGGCTCAGTGCATGCCGCGGGTGGTTCAGGGAAACGCGCGCCGATCTGAAGGCGCCAAAGGGAGTGTCAGCGGGGGAATCTCTGGGCTTTCTGAACAAGAGATGATTCCCACTGATGGATCTGAAATGAATCCTTTCCGACTGTTACATACCCAAATGCTAAATAGCTTAGAAAACATCAAGGCATTATAATATCTACCTATGCTTTAGCCATGGAAAGTTTGACATGAAAATATAGACATAATAAAACAAAAATCCAACACTTTTACATAAGAATCCTTCGTATATCCATACCGCAAATAATGGTTATGTATATTAAATTATATATTGAGTTATATAATTATTAGGCTTGGTAGGTTACCGAACTTTACTGTATAGGGTACAATCACCTCCTTGTATGCCTCTCTTTCTATTCCAACACCTTTTCTCTCCTCAACCTTTCTTCTTCCTAAACAGGGCTTCAGAAGTCATAACAAAATGCCATGAAATTGTTAAGATTATATAAGTTATATATAATTGATAGGCTTGGTAGTTGTTACTGAACCTTTCTGTAGAGGGCACAATCCCCTCCTTGTACCCCTCTCTCTTCCTAATCGTCACTTTTCTCTCTCGTCAATTTTCCCTAGCTAAACCTCGGCCGTCATTCCATCGCGGCCTTCTCCGTTCTTGCTAATTCAGCTCACAACATGGTAACAGAGCAGGCCGCCCGTCCCGGGCCTGCTCATTACGCTTCCGCTGCATGCTTTCACCGTTCCATCTGTGCCGCCGTCGCGGCCCTTCAGTATCCAGCCGCAGTGGCGGCCACTTGTTATCCTGCCGCCGTGGCGGCCTTCTGCTGTCGCGCCACCGTGACAATTTCTCGTCTTCGTGCCGCTGTGACGGCCGTTACGAGATGCCACCGCAGGCTCATGATGCAGCCGTCGCCCGTCCGCCTCGCCGCTACGGCATTGACATCGCGCTGTGGTGGCGTCTAGGGCAGCCGACGGCATCGTTGGGCTGCAGCCGGCCGAGCGACGCCTGTGGCGCCGCCGGACCTGCCGCCCGCTCGTCAGCCACGGGCGTCACTCAGGACGTCGTCCTCCCGCCAGTAAGCGCCGCGCCATTTATGGCGCGTCGCTGAAGACTTGCCACCCCCCCCCCCCCCCCCCCCCAATTCTCCCTTCCCCCTACATCTCCTCCTGCTCCTGTTGCAGCTGCTGACTCCTACCCGGTCGTCGCCGGGCCGTGACACACCGCCGAGAGCCCTCAGCCGCGGCCGTTGCCTTTGCTGCCTCTCGGCGGGTGGGGATGTCACCACGTTACGCACGAGGGGTAGATGTCCGGCTGCTTACGAGCATGGGGGTGTAAGGGTGTCGGGGGTGTGTGGTGTTGGGTGGGTGTGTGACTACCAAGCCTAGGGGGTGTGTTAAGATTATATAAGTTCTATATAATTGATAGGCTTGGTAGTTTTACTGAACCTTTTTGTAGAGCGTACAACCCCCTCCTTGTACCCCTCTCTCTTCCTAATCGTCACTTTTCTCTCTCGTCAATTTTCCCTAGCTAAACCTCGGCCGCCATTCCATGGCGGCCTTCTGAGTTCTTGCTAGTTCAGTTCACAACAGAAATGCTGCATATCAGGGTGTTTTTTTAGGGTCGTCCTGTTTTTTCAGCTTTTGATTTTTCCTAGGCCTGAATTTTAGGGGTTCTTATTTGAGCAGGCCAGAAATATTGTATATTCTTCTTTTGGTCACCCTGAATTATCAGCCTTCACCGATTTTCAGCCTGAAACAGAATTCTATCTGACTGGTCGAGGCGAGCTGGAGCAGCTGCGAGGGGCGTGTCTTGTCCTTCGCCAAAATGACGTAGGTGACGCAAGTTGGAGCACATGTGAGGGACGCGATTGGTCCTTCGCCAAAATCACGCAGGCAATTTGACACGAGCTGGAGCAGGTGTGAGGGGCGTAACTGGACCTTAGCAAAATTACGCAGGTAACGCGCGTTGGAGCAGATGTGAGGGGCGTGATTGGTCCTTCGCCAAAATCACGCAGGTAGTCTGACGCGAGTTGGAGCAGGTGTGAGGGGCGTGACTGGTCATTGGCTAAAATCAAGCTAGTAGTGTGAGAATTTGTACGCAATGAAGTCCGATCTGATCTAAGGACCATAAACCTAAAAAATATACCTGATGAGTCGGGCTTAATCTTTTTTTGTCTGACGAAACATGCCATGTCTAACATAATGTGCTAGGTTAAAATCCTACCCACCCTAAAAAATCGTCAAGGTTCAACCTATCATCTTAGCTCTGAAATTTTTCAGTCTTGATTTTTCAGCCTTCGAAATTTTTTACCCTGAAAAAAATTGCAACTTCCAAAACCTGACCTTGAAAAACGGGGGCTCCTTCTGGGGGCGCCCTGAGCCAACAGCCCCTCAAAATCCAAAATGAAGCCCTGTTCCTAAACCTCACGCCACTCCATGGCTCCTCCTAGCTAAAGCTCATGCCTTTCTTAGCTTCCTAATTTATTCTTGCATTCTAACATGCTATCAGAGCAGGAGAGCCTCCCTGCTGGACCGCCTCCTCACGCTTCCGCCGCGTACTCGCCCTCGTTCGCTCGTGCGGCCATGGCGGCCGCGTTGTGCTGCAGTGGCGGCGTCGTGATGCCGCTGGCCGCGTCGTGCCGCTGCCGTCTCGACGCGCTGCCGTGGCGTCGGGCTGTCATGCTGCCGTCGCAGCGTCGACGTCCCGCCACGGCGTCGGCGCAGCTCTGTGACGGTGGCATCGGGCTGCAGCCGGCCACGCGACGCCTGTGGCGCCGCTAGACCGCCCGCCCGTATGCCAGTAAGCGCCGCGCCAGCAATGGCGCCGCGCTGAAGATCCGAAGCCCCGCCACTTCCCCCCTTTCCTCTGTCCCCTCCTCTTCGCCACAGCCGCCGCCTGACTCTCCGGCGGGCGCGTAGAGAAACGCATTTGACACGTCGATTTGTCGAAGTCGTAGATTACGGCAGGCGGCGACACAGAGTAAAATCCGAACTCTTGGATGTCTACTTCTGAAGTCGGTATTAAACCCCATGTGCCACGATTCTTAAGAGCTGCAAGCTTCTTGTCCATGGCTTTGCACCATTTTTCTCGGTGAGGACTCGTAAGAGCTTGTCGAACGGTTTTCGGTTCAGGTATCTTACTGTCGTTGTACTGTATTGCTACTGCAAATCCAAGTATCTGTAAGCCGGTTTCTGTAAAACACGGACGTTCCTCGTTTGCACCTGCGAAATTTTCTTCTGGTCCTTCTTCCCCCCCAATTTCGTCAGGTGTAACACGAACTGCTTCGTCGGAGACGGCGGGCATCGGCTGCTATTGGCGATCGCGTTCGTAACTGAGGTGGACTTCGCGAACGTCATCCGGGTCAGCATCGACAAGAGGAATAAACTCTGGTATGCTAGTCGAGGTGACAGGTTCGGGAATGTTTGTTGCGGCAGCTTCGGATGCTTCAGAAACTGCTTCGTCCAGTACATCAGCTTCGGCTTCATCAGTTGCAAACGCACGCGAGCCTTCGAACAGCCTGGCGGGGTTGGCAGCTGCTGCCTGGTGGGCACGAAAACCGGGCAAGGTGAGTCTTTCATATTGGAGACAATCACGTGATGGGACGATTTGGTTGGAGCGAAGATCCAAAATCTTCCATGCGTGATACTGTTTTTCGATGCCAAGATGTACCCCCCATTTTGCTCGTTCGGAAAATTTGCCGAGTGCTGCAGTGGGAGGACGAAACTGCACAACACACCCAAACACTCGTAAAAGTTTGGTACTTCCCACTGTACGTGTCCACTGCAGGTGCGGAGATGAAATCTTGGGCAGGGACGTTGAAGAAAGAAGATTGTGTAACAGCACGGCGTGGTCCATCGCATACGGCCAAAAACGCGGTGGAAGGGCTGCCTGCGTCAGCAAAGCACGCATCTTGTCCTGCAGAGTTCTGTTCATCCTTTCTGCTACCCTCATCTGTTGGTGTGCATGCGGCAGTGACTGCTTCCGTTTGATGCCGAGTGTCTAAAGGTATTCTGTGAAAGTGTTGATGGTGTATTCCCCTGCACCATCACTCTGAAATTCTTGCAGTTTCACGCCTGACTCTCGTTCAGCGACAACGAGCCACGCGACAAAGACGTAGTGAGCGAGATAACGAGCGAGAAGGTTTGCTGTCCAGACGTAGCGTGTAGACGCTTCGATGAATGTTATCACGTACTCCTCGTCTTTAGGTCCTGCTTCAGGTAAGTTTAGTATGTTACTGTAGACTTTCTGCATCAGTTTGTAACGTGTTGAGCCAGAAAAATGACTTGGAAACGGATCGTGAGTAATGTTGGCAACCGGACACGTGGTGCAAACCGTCGAACGAGACTGCGGCTTCATCTCCGTGTCGTCAGGTAAGAGAAGACTATTCTTATCAAGAACTGCTGCTCGGATTGAATGATTAAGGATCCCTTGTGATGGATGTCCTAACCGCTGATGACAGATATCTTCTGTGGCTTTGTGTTCTGATGATCGCAGGTAGAAATCTGCGTTGGTATAAAAAGAAGAAATAACAAAAGGAGAAAGCGCTGGTGACCTGTCAATCTCTCCGTCGACGAAACGTGTAAGTTGTGACGAAACGTGTAAGTTGTAAGGTACTGCTGCAGTTGCGATTGCAATTTTTGATGCTGCTTTGGTTGATGTTGTGGCAGGTGTTTCGGCGACAGCTGCTGTTAGACACGGCTGCTCGGCGACTTCTTCCTTTTCAGCTTCTTCAACGATGTCAGGTTCATAAGCTGCTAGTCCAATAATTTCCCCCCAAAGTGGAGCTGGAGTTCCTTGAAGAGCCTCACGAGTTGTATAAAACGTTCGCCAAGCGTTGGTGCCGTCATCGGCGGTATTGAACTCCCAAGTATCTAGTGCGGTAAGTACAGCAGCTGCAGTTTGAGAAGCCGTTGGTACAGTAGTTGCTTGAAAATCAATATCCACGTGTTGATAATCTGTTTCTTCTGGGTGATTCCAGGGACCAAGTGCAGGGACGCGTTCAGAATCTCCAGAAGTTCCTTGTGCTGCAAACTGAAGAATGGACACGCCATGTTGAGTGGCGGCACGACCAAGGTAAGTATTCGTTGAACTGTTGCAGAGCTCCTGATCCATCGTTTCACAATTGCCCTGTGTGCGGATCTTGTGTGCCAGGAGCTGAGCCGTGGATTTGAATCCAAGGCCGGCGACGATAAGAACATTGGTAACATGTAGTGAGTATCCCGTGTCGATAGATTCAAGCATTACACTCCCAACAAAACGTGCCATAATAGTTTGTCCGTTTGCGACTGTGACAGGTATCGGACGACGAAGTGGACGCTGGTTGGTGATGAAGCTTGTTTCAGCGGAGCACATGTGCCAACCGCAGCAGCTGTCGAGATACCAAGTATTCGGACCTGAAATTATTCGAGCAAGGTTAGCGTAAACTTGAGGTAAAGGAATGCCTTCAGCACTTGTGGTTTCTTCAAGTCGTGTCTCGAAATCTGTCTCTGAAACATCAACAGTGGTGACACATCCAAAGACCCCTTTCCCTGATGTTGCAGATGCAAAAACCGGAGGACGATGCTGTGACGATAATGGATTCTGCGACGTTTTCGGCATCTGCTGCGTTTGAGTCGTCGACTGCTGCGTTGGCTGATGTGGCTTTGGTAACTGCTGCGAGCGATGATAAGGCTGTGAAGTGCTGCGACGGTTTTTATGTCGACTGCGACAATTCTGGTAAGTGTGTCCTGGTTTCTTGCAGAAATGGCAGAAAGGATATTTCAGGGGATGACGATGTTGCGCTTCTGGATTTGAGTAAAAACTCAAGTGTAGTCCATTTTTTTGATTGCGTTGTGACTGCAGGTCCAGATCTTGCTGCTCCGCTTGAAGATACGACGAAATTTCAACTTCGGAGAGGTTCGGGTTCATGCGCAAGAAGGCGCGCGTCTGTCGCCATTCGGGTCCAAGGCCCGCAAGAAGGACCGTGAGATACATCTCACGAGGGAAGTATCCCCCACTTTTCTCCAGTTGATCGCGCAGTGTACGGACGCGATTAAAGTAATCCATGACGTTCTCACTTGTCATCGTCTGCACATTTGTTAACTGCGAAAGAATCTTACTCACTATTATTGTATCTTTTGCCATGTATACCCCCTTCAAGTGGTTCCAAGCGGTTTCAGCTGGTGTAAAGCTTGAATGAAACGATCGAACGCCGAGTTGCTCCTTCGGCGACAGGTTACGAACAAGAACTATATACGCCCCGAGAGAGGCGTGCAAGAAACTCTGCTGCTCCAGTTGTGTTCCCACGACAGGATAAGTAAATTCGCCGGTGAAGAACGGCCATAGCCCAGCGGACTGCGCAAGAAGCTCAAACTCGAAACTCCAGGAGTAAAAATCCACTCCGTTAAAAGGTATGGTTGTCTTGATCTGTGTACTGTTAAGTAAGTTTGGCGGTTGAAAAACAACACCTGGTTGTTGAGGCTACTGCTGTTGCTGCTGTTGCTGTTGCTGAAATTGCTGTTGTTGTTGTTGCTGTTGCTGTTGCTGTGGCTGTTGATGCTGTTACTGAGCAGGAGGACGACCGAAGATATAAAAGGGATGCTGCTGCTATTGTGACTGCGGCTGCTGCACAAAATGTGAGAAAGCGAATGAACCAGTACTTGGAGCTGAGGCTCCAAGCATGTAACTCGAGCCGTCAAGGCTCATTCCACTGAACGCTGACGATATTGACTGCGTTGAGAACGGTGGTTGCGCTGTTGCTTGTTGCTGTACTGACGACTGTTGTTGAACTGATGCTTGTTATTGTGCTGTTGTCTGTGTTTGGTGTTGTGCTGCTGGGGCAGTTGATGACATCCCTGGAATATTGGCAGAAGACGGATTCTGCTGCTGCTGCATACCGATATGCGCATAAGCCGGTGGAAATGGTGCAGAGGCTGAGAGACCAGTGGCGGTCGTGGAGACATGTACTCCAGTCGTTCCGGAAGTTGATCCAGCAGACGGTGCTGGTGATGAACCAGTCATTGTTGACATTAGTCTTTATCCCAGATAGCTCTCATACCATGTAGTATTTTGACAGGTGTTGCAGAAGACTAATTATAGAATTTGCAAACACGAACACTTGGAAAACCTCAAGTGTTAGCCTAGGATCTTTACTGGAATGGTAGACTAGTAAGACAGCGGAAGTCTTGTAAGAGTGAACCTGAGTATATATTTCTGTGGAAGTCAAGTCTCAAAGTTCTCAAAGTTGAAATCTCAAGGTTAATAATAAAAGGACAGAACAAGATTTATAGCTCTAGGAAAGTACCTGTTCGGTAATGTACCTGTTTGTCACTATTCGCGTGACTGAAACGACTGTCATGTGACGAGCGCTATTTGCTGACGTCATCCTACAGACTTATCTTCTACTGTGATATTCGACAGTATCTGTCGATAAACAACTTACAGAAATGCTAAGTATGAAATATATCACAAAAACCCTCACGCCACTCCATGGCTCCTCCTAGCTAAACCTCATGCCTTTCCTAGCTTCCTCATTAATTCTTGCATTCTAACAATGTAAACTTTACACCTCATGTCATGCATTGTAAAATTACATTAGATTGATGGTTAACAACATTCTACCAAATCTCGTATAGTTTAGTAACACACTAGAGAACTTTTGGCTAGGATGAACAAAAAGAGACTGTGAGAATGCAGCAGCTTATCTCAGTTGACCCGCTAAAGGCAGCACTTACGTGGCTCCTCCGCCACCCACCTCGGCCTCCGCCAACCCCAACATTCCTCGTCACTTCCATCCATCCCGCCATTGCGCCAGTCTATCGCTCTTGGCGCATGACACTCCCAATATTTACCTCCCCCCCTTGCCTAAACCGCGGTTTTTTCTTAACGGCCCTTCAGTGTTTTTGCTTCCAGCAATTCTCCCCGCCTATCCGCGCTCTCCGCCCGCCATGGCTCTTCACACTATTGCCGTGACCACCGGCTCGAGCCTCTCGCACATCGCGTGCCCAGACAGGTCGCGCACGGCGGCGATCGAGCGGTCGTTCGACACCGCGCGGGTGTCGACCTCCGCGCCGAGAGCCCGCAATGTCGCCGTGGCTGCTTCCGCCAGCGCCTTCCCCTCCGCCACTGCCGCCTCCGCCTCCGCCTCCCCCATTCTCCTAAACCCCCTGGCGCAAACGTCGCTGAGCGACCCGTTCGTGATGGCGTCGTCCCCGTCGACAGCGGCGGCGCAGCGGCACGCGGAGGCGGACGTGATGGGGCTGCTGCTGCGGCAGCGCATCGTGTTCCTGGGCGCGGAGCTGAACGACTTCGTGGCGGACGCCATCGTCAGCCAGTTGCTGCTTCTCGACGCGCAGGACCCCAACCGCGGCATCCGCCTCTTCGTCAACTGCCCCGGCGGCTCCATCAGGTACCGGAGACGGGGAGGAGAGATAGGGGGAGACGGAGATCGTGGTCGTTGGGTGCGCACGCGAGATTAAGAACGGATTAGGTTATGTGGGTGACTGGGGATGTTGTTTGTTGGTGGGGGTGCGGACACGGGGTAGTGTAGGGGTTGATCGGCTCGTTTCGATATGGTCGACGTGCAGCGATTTTGGCCGCGTGCGGAATTTTAGCAATGGATTCGGGGACTTTCGGGGCGAGGACCGACAGGAATTTCTGGTCAGGTTTAACGTTGGCAGTAGAGGGAGCATTTCAAGGGAGCTGCCCGACGCAAAGTTTTTTTCCCGCTTTCCATTCTCCATGCCCTGCTGGACTGAATAATATCGGAACACCGATGAGGTCCGGAGAAAAGTAGGAAGACTGGTTATAGGAGGAGACGGGGTACGTGCGGAGATCACGAAATGGCAGCAGATGGGGAGCAGAGAGCAGAACAGGGAAACGCGGAGTGGAGAGCGAGGTGAGGGGGTGGGAGCAGGCGGTGTCAAGTGAGCAGACGTACACAAGAGGGAAGCTGACCTTCCAGCCTTGGCGTCCTCCCCTCATGCGCCGCTCATGGTTTTCCTCCCCTCATGCGCCGCTTTCATCTGTCCCGTCCCTCTCTCTCTCTCTCTCTCTCTCTCTCTCTCTCTCTCTCTCTCTCTCTCTCTCTCTCTCTCTCTCTGTCGCGCTTGCAGCGCGGCGATGGCTATCTACGACGCGATTAACTACTGCCGCGCGCCCGTGTCCACCGTGGCATTCGGGCTCGCGGCGTCCACGGCGGCCGTGGTGCTGGCGGGCGGCAGCAAGGGGCGGCGCATGGCCATGCCGAACGCGCGCATCATGATGCATCAGCCCATGGGCGGAGCCAGCGGCCAGGCCATCGACGTCGAGATCCAGGTGGGCGACGCACGGACTCGGCTAGGATCAATCCCGGAGATGGCCTAGATAAACACCGCGGAAAGAGGCGTGTTGGTTGGACCAGGCAGAACGATATGGGAACTGGAAATGGGGAGTGATTCATGTGTCGTGCTCATGTCCGCGGCCCATGCATGCTGTTTCCCCCCATCCGTTCCCGTGGGCAGGCCAAGGAGATCATGTACCACAAGTCCAACATTGCGAGGATACTCTCTGAAATCACCGGGCGCTCAGCTGAGCAGGTAGGTTCACCGCACTATTTGGAAGTGCTTATAGAAACAAGCAAGAAAAGGGTTTGTAGAAGCTTTTGTCCGTCTTTGTTTTGACCAGTGATCTTTGCCCTCCCGGGTGGGTTGTTACGTGCCTATCCCTTTGACTGAGAATCTGTCTTCCCATTTTACCACTTGTCAGGTGGAGAAGGACATTGATCGTGATCGCTATATGTCACCAGTGGAGGCCATGGAGTACGGCCTCATCGATGCTGTCATTGACAGCGATGCCATCCTGCCCCTGCAGCCATCACCTGAGCGGGTGAAGCCCCGGAGGGAACACCTTGAGGCCGATAAGGATCCTCGCAAGTTCCTCATTCCCACCATCCCTGACTCAGAGATCTTTTAGCTTTGGCTCGGCATGTCCACTCCACTCCTTGTCCAGCTTCCTAGACCTATATAGTTCCATGTAGGTCGACGTGTCTTCCCTGTCGCATCACTTGCTGCCTCGACACCATATCACAGCCAGTTGGTAGAACTAAGACGTCAGTAGTTTGAGGTGCGTGAAACTCAAACAAAGGATGACTTGCAGTGTTCGATATGCATGATTCAGCATGCATGGTCATTTCATGGTTCCTCCCAATCTACATAGTATATTTCGGGTTGATATAGGAATTATCGCCTGGTTTCGGTGTGTGTTGCATTAGTTACCATACCCGCTTCCAGTGTACCCTCAGGAAATTCTGGACCTTCGTTCTCTATGATGCGTGGCAGCATCTTGAGCGTCTCTTCTACCACGGCATCTCACGTGGCGGAGCAAGCGACGTCCGATAACATTCGATGCTTCTTAGCCACCCGCAGCTCTGCGGTTTCGTTGAGGCCACTTGTCGCCCTTAGACCCGCCACCACGGACCCCTCACCACGGGAATGTCAGCGTTCATTCACGGTAACCTGGCGTTTGCCTCTCGCTGAAGTTCGTGTATTTCTCATAAGAGCCAATCCGAACCTTCGTTTAGCTAGACCAGCCTCCACAACCCTCCGCAACCATCAGCGGCGTCGCCACACCTGTCGCACGGCTGATTCTACGCGGCGCCTCGTGTCGTCCATCTGCCCCACAAGTTTCAATGGGTGCCACGAATGCCACCTGACCACTGCCGGTCTAAGACTCAGTAACGCGTACACCAATCCCCATGTGGCAGATCTAACATCTCAACTCCCCCCCACCGCATTGCTTGCCCTACCCCCCTCCCCCCTCCCCTCTCCCCTCACCCTGTTTCTCTCTTAGTCAGTCAACGCCTCTCCTGGACTCATTTCCCGCAGCCTGTCTGTAAATTTCGTGCCTCAGTTTCAACAGCCAGCTCGCCGCGATGGCCGCCGTTAACGCCTCGGCCGTGGCAACTGCGATCTCCGCCGTCGCTTCCTCCGCGCCATGCGCACAGCGCCGCGCCTCGAGGGCGGCGGTTTCGGGCTCCGCGCTCTTCAACCCGCTTAGAGTGGCTGCCGCCCGACCAGGTGCGCTCTCGCGGAATACTTTTACCATCATCACGTACCCTTCCGCCGCTCCTCCTGTTGAATCGCTGCTTTTCCATTCCGCTCACTCCCTGACGCGCGATCAATGGCGGAATCGTTTCTTCAATTCCGACCCCTCGCTCTGCCCGAATGCTTGGCATGATGCGGCACTGTTAAGCGTATCTCTCCCGAATCCCGTGATTGTGTGCGCGTGCGTGCCTGCCGAACGCTCTCTCTCTCAGCAGTCCGCGTGTCTCGCAGCGGCCCGGCGGTGGTGCGGGCCGCGACGGAGGAGACAGCGGGCACGATCCAGGGATTCATCGACGATGTGAAGGCCAAGGTGAGGGCGAGGTACGGTCGCAGGTGCGCGATAGGAGTCTCCTTTTGATGCGACGCAATGCGATCCAGGGAGTTATCGACGATGTCAAGGCCACGGTACGCTCACAAGCTCCATTGGCTACGCGAAACATTCTTCCTTTCAACAGGCATAGCTGTTCTGATGTTTTTATACTGTTCGATATTTGAAGGGGTGGAGACGGGTTGACACTAAAGGTTCAATCGAAGGCAAAAATCGTAAGATATGCAGCATTAGTACCTCCAGATCTAACGACTTCGCAAGACAGTCAGCTACGACACCATGGTGTGAACTACGACACCATGGTGTGAACTACGTCGCACCGCTTCCCCCCCACTCCGTTCGACCGTTCACCGCACCTGCCCATCTCTCCCCCTCTTGCCAACCCACGTGCACTCCATCTCACATCCCCAACCGCGCGTGTCATAGGTTTTTGAGATCTCTAGGAGACCTATTTCAGCCTATCTCAGACCCCCAACCCCAATCACGCGCGTCACCCCCAACCGTGTTGTGCTTCCTTTGCTCTCGCGCCCCCCCTCTCTGCCACTCCTCCCCACCGTGCCACGTGGCATGGCGCGCAGTGGGACGGCGTGGAGGACAAGGGCACTCTGGCGCTGTACGCGGGCGGGTCCGTGACAGCCGTCTGGCTCTCCGCTACCGTCGTCAACGCCGTCAATTCCATCCCAGTCGTGAGCGCCGCCGCCCCCTCTCCTGCCGCCCCTCTGCTTGGCATCACCTGCCACCTCGACCATGGCCTCAACCACCCCAAGCTATGCCTTCTTGCTCTAAGCTGTGCTCGGCTGGCACTACCTCACTGCTCCTCCCATCCTCCATATTCCTTCCTGCCGTCTCCCCGTGGCCCTCCCATCCGCCTTTCCACCTCTCGTCCCCTCTGCGCTCTCTTCTTTCCTCTCCCCCTTACCAGCTCTTCCCCCCAGTCTTCCCCACCACAATCATTTCCGCTCCTGCCTTGTTGTCCATGCCACAAGCATTCCTGCCGCCACTCTGAGCGCCCTCCCTTTGCCCCCCCTCCCCATTGGCTTCACTCTAACCCGCCCCTCACCCGCCCCTCTCCCCTTCGCCCCCTCGGCCCTCGCGCTCCTTGCGCCCGCGTGCCCGTGTGCCCGTGTGTCCGTGTGCCCGTGTGCGCGTGTGCGTGCAGGTGCCGAACGTGTTGGAGCTGGTGGGCACGGTGTACACGGGGTGGTTCGTGTACCGCTACCTTCTCTTCAAGGTACGCCGTTCTGCACCTCCCTCTTGCCATGTGCGCTACTGTCTCCGCTCGATGTGCTGGTGCTTTTGTGTCATGTCAAGTCTGTTCTGGATTCGTGCTCCTTCCACTCCCTTTTTCCTCTTGCTCTTTAGCTCGCATGCTACCTGTGATGGTGCAAGTTGCAACATCTTCTCGGAATGTGATTCAGCACCCTACCATTTCCCCAGTCCCTGTTCTCACAGACACGCATGTGCCACTAACCGCGCAGACTGCGGTTGGGAAAACGCGTGCCACTAATCTGTTATCCGCCAGTCAGCGCATGCACTAGAGCTCTCAAAGCAAGCTTTCTTCTATGACCACGGCTGTCCCCTCCTGTCCCGCCCCCCCTGCTGTCCCCCTGCTTTACCCCTGCCATCTCCCCACAGTCGAGTCGCAGGGAGCTGGCTGAGCTGATCGAGGACATCAAGGCACGCATCACCGGCTCCACATAACCGCAGCAACACTGTGGCTATAGATGATGCATGGGATAGATATGCTGTTACCTGTGGATAAGCTATAAGGCTGACTGGAAGAAACATCGTTCTTGTTACCTACAAATGCAGTATATTAATAAGTTGGTGATATCTTCTGAAGGAAAGTACATCCTATTGTACAATCAGGACATGTTAAATATCTAACTGCTACTACATTTGCCTTGTACCATGGAAATCTGCACTAACCTTGCCACATATACCGCCACAGAATGCAAGGAGGTGAGAAGTTATCTTCTCGAGTTATAAAAGCCAATCTGGCTTGCCCATGATCTCTGCAAACCTGTTGAATGCTGCAGTGTACACTGGCCGCTTCAGACCGTTGGCCTGTGAAAGGAAGGGGCGTCCAGGGCGACGAGAAGGAAGAGATGCCATGTCAATGCACATGCAAGTGTCAGCACAAAGCTGCTGCCATGCGACATGTGTGCAAAGGGGGGGATGTGACGAGCGTAGTGGAGACAATCCACACGAGCTGCAAGCGTTGTGGCCTCTGTATTAAGGAACCCGTACATCTTGCCGACAGCACTCACCCATTGCTCCTGCCACCTATTCCGCCCACCATCGAGATGACCTGAGCAGCCGTCATCCACAGCTCCTACTGCTGCAGCAGCAGCTGCTGCTGCTGCTGCTGCTGTTGCCATTAGACATGCGCGCGAGGGCTGTGGTCGCATAGAACCAGTCAAGACGGCTGGCTTCAAGCGCCATGGCCTCCACAGGAACCCAAACTCCCGGCTGGAAGCACGCACCCATTGCTGAGTCACTTATTGACGCACCATGGAGATGACCCGAGCAGCCGGCATCCACTGCCACGCGCCAAACTCCGCTGACTCGCCCCCCAGCCCTGCCAAGCACACCTCAGAGTCACACCCCTCGAAGCGCAGCAGCAGCCTGCGGCCAAACATGGTTGGAGAGAGACGGAGGGAAAGTTGGAGGGGCGATGCACACACAGAAGTCGAGGAGGAGAAAAATGACAGGACGGACGCTCAGTGGCGTGGCAGATTCCTCTTGCCTGTGGCTTCCTTGCCACTGCCCTATCACTGCTTCTCAACTAACCACTCTGAACCTACCTCTCACCACATCTAACCGTCCACCTATTCCACCTCTTCCACCTCCTCTCACAAACACTTCCTCACCGAACATGCTCTCTCACCATCTCTGCGCCTGCCCCTGCCACTCCTTCCCCCACCGCTGTGCGAGCCGGGGGATGACTGCTGGGGGGTAGCGGTAGCACAGCCACTCCCGCATCTGGCAGCGGCCAGGGGGATGGACAAGGGAACAGGGTGAGGACAGGGGGACTGAGCAAGGGCAAGAAGAGTGGAAAAGAGGATAAGTAAGCACAATGCCATGGCAACCCCGCCCCCCCAGCCAAAGTCCCAAACCCTTTAACTCCACCCACCCTCCCTCATCCCCTCTCACACCCCACCCCTGCCCTGCCCTGCCCTGCCCTGCCCTGCCCTGCTGACTGCGCGCGCGCCTCACCTCCCCCACGCGCAGCACAGAGTGCGCCGCGATGCCCGTCTCCTCCCGCAGCTCGCGCAGCCCCGCCTCCCACAAGCCCTCGCCGCGCGCCATGTCTATTCCGCCCTGCGCGCGCCAGGGGAGGCGCGCGGGGATGGCGCGAATGATGGGGAGTGCGGGAGCGGGGCGGAGGGAGGTCGGAAGGGAGAGGGTTTAGCGGGAGTAATGTGTGTGTAATGAGTCGATTATTGAGTCGACTCATTACACACGTGATGTGTGAGAAAGTAAGAGCGGCGGGAGGGGAACGAAGAGGAGGGAGGAAGGAGGGGGAGAGGGCGAGCGAGACGAAGTCAGAAGATGAGGGAGAGAGCAAGTCAGAAAGGCAGGCCTCAAGCGGACAAGAAGAGTGAGGTAGAGGGACTCAGGAGGAGCAGGGAGGGATTATCTTACCTGCGGCATCTGCCACGTGTCGGGTTGGTCCAATCGCGACGCGACCAGCACCAGGCCCTCTGGGTTAACTACGCATAGTCCCACGTTAGGTCGATACCCCGCCGGCGGCTGCTCCTCACTCCAACGGAGCAGCTCGCCCACTTGGTGAAGGAAACCGTCAACGACGTCCTGTCTGTCAGTTTGTTCCGCCTCCGCTGACTTGACGGACGTCTGCTCCACGCCGTTTACTTCTGACGGCGCGTCGTTCGACTGTGCGCCGTCCGCATTGTATGTGGCACGTGTTACACACGTCGCACGCGTCGCTGTCTCGCACGCGTTGGCGAGCGCGCTGCCATCTCCCTCCATCCGCCGCCGGACCGCCGATCCGCCCGCGTTACGCCCGCGGCGAATCTGCGCCGTTAATACGTGAGCGCGGATCGCGGGATGCGCAGATCCGGCTTGCGCGGTCGATCCGCCGCAATGACTCGCGGCCGCAGCGGCGATGGTGAGATGCGCGGCTGCGCGACGGGAAGGGCGGCGGGGCGGAGGAGTAAGTGACAGAGACAGAGCCGCCGCTTGGCGGCGTAGTGTCCCGCCGTGAATGGCGTGTTGGAACCTTCGCATCACTGGGTCACAGAAGTGGTAGGCTGCGAGGCGAGCTGTGGTGGGTCTGTGGGTGTGGGTGAACAAGGCTGGAGAGCAGAAAGCAGGACTTGATGAGTGTGAAAGTCCCGCTACGAACAGTGCTCTATAAGATACAGTCTGTTTGGTGAGAAAGGTGCAACTACGCCTCCTCCGATTACGTTCTTGTGTATACCGTTTTCTTTCTTGTCTTCGTTTGAATCACACTTGAGTCACATGTTTTGCACCAGTTACATGCGAATGCTCCGCAGCAGGCACACAATGGCTCAAACATCTATTTCTAGGAAGCACTGGAATGGAGGGGACGGTATATTATACCATATGCCACAATGTGGAAACTCCGTCTCACAGCAATCAACGATATGCAGGAGAATGCTCACGGTTCGCTGAAAAAGACAAGTTGCTATGTACAGCAACACCAACAGGTAACACATGAAGAAAACGGAGTTGAAGCAGCTGAGCATGATGAGAAGTTGTACAGCTGAGAGCCTCATCTGATGTGTCATGATCCAGGATCTGCTCTCAACCTGCCATCATCACTAACACCACCAGTGACCAGTGACTAGTGACTAGTGACCATGGCGTCACTAGTACGTCAGCAGCAAACCCGGTCCAGGACCCATTCAACATCAGTATCCCAGCAAAGTTCGATCAACGCCACACCAACTTCTCACCATACCGCACCTCTTTGGTTCCATCTCCACATGTCCACTCCACTCCAGCCAAACAGTCGTCAGCAATACCTCAGCAATTCCTTTCCTCAAATGTGAAATTCCAACACGATAGTCCTTCCTGTGTGTCGCTCCAGTCTTCACCACCACCAGCATCCATGCACCTCTTCCCCTCACCCTCCCCTTCACTCTTCCACCTTTTCTTTGCCTTTGCCATTGCCCTTGCAGCTCCCCTTGCAGCTCCCCTTGCCACTGTCCTCACCACTCTCCTTGCCACCATCCCTGTCATCATTCGTTCCGCCCCTCTTGCTGGTCCTGCCTGGGCATGAGAGCTTGTGGGAGGGCCAGTGCGCCTTCTGGCAGTCTCTGCTGCAATACGTCACCTTGCGACACGCGGAACAGATCTTCCGCTTCACTCCGTCTCCCTCCACCTTCCCACATCCTGCAGCACCACACACACGCCCTTCCACGTCTGGGGTGGCAGCAGCAGGGGTGTTTGCAGCAGTGCTTGCAACAGCAGCAATGCTTGCAGAACCAGCATTGGTTGCAGCAGCAGGGGTGCGTACTGCAGCAGCAGGGGCATTTACTGTGTCAGCAAAAGTGTCTGCAGCAGCAGGGGTGTCAGCACCAGCACGGGTGTTTGTGGCAGCAGGGGTGTTTGCTGCAGCAGCAGGGGTGTTTACTGCAGCAGCAAGGGTGTTGGACGCAGCAGCAGAGGTGTTCACTGTGGCAGCATGGGTGGCAGAGGCAGCATGGGAAGGAGGGCGGTAGCATGGCTGTCCCATCAGCATCTCTCGCAGACACGCCACCAGGTTGAACCCCCCCTGCCATGGCTTCAAATAAGCCAGCACCCCTCCCTTCCTCCTGCTGCTGCTTCCGCTACTGCTGCTGCTACCGCTGGCACTGTCGCCACTGCTACCGCCACCACCACAGCTGCTGTTGCTGCCACTGCTGCCACTGTCGCCACTGTTACCGCCACCTCCACAGCTGCTGTTGCTGCTACAGCTTTTACTGGAAGCCTCACCTTGGACCTGCAACCCCTCACTGTACCTCGGAACTGCAGCCTTCTTAAGAATTGGAAGAAACTTCACAGCAGGTGTCCCGTGCCCTCTGTTGCCTTTGCATGCCTCCCTCAACGCCTTGAACCTCATGCTTGGCGGCCACGCCCCCAATGCCGCCAGATACCACACTCGCACCTCCTCTCATCCCACACCTCCCCATCGTCCCCCTCATCCTCCCCACCACCCCAATCCTTTGGAGCCTTCACCCTGCCACCCATTCCCCCTTTCTTCTCAGCATCCCCCCTCACAGCCCTCTGCAGTCCCTGCTCGTTCTCGTTGTTGTTGCACTTGAACACCTCGATTTCCAATATCGGACCAGCGCACAAGAGGGCTACGACGAGGAGGAAAAAGAGGGGACGCTGCTATGCTCGCGTCAGCATCATATGCACGTTCACAGGCTTAGGCATCTCTGCTTCGGTATCCATGAAGGAGATGAGCTTTTCAAAGTCACAGGAGTGTGGGGGAGAAACGGAGATGAAGCAGTTGAATAGGACGCTGACTGGACGGTACGCGAAGTTTGCAATGACTGCGAGGATGTCCATGTATTTGGTGTACTGGGTGAAACAGCTCTGGCACTGGGTACATGCTGGTGGCACAATGGTAGATTCAGCGAACTCCACCAGAAAGTCCACATCTGCCTGGCAGCGAACGATGGGGAATTTCCTGGTGGGTGGGAGTGCAAGGGCTGGAGCATCGGCTCCATTTGCTTCTTCTCTCCCACACCCCCTGGTTCTCCCATCTCCCTTCCCAGCTCCCTTGCCAGCTGTCTTTGAACCTCTTCCCCTCCCTCTTCTGCGCCTTCCTCTAGCTTGCGATGCCTGTTCAGCAGGTGTCTGTGCTAACTCCTCTGCTGCCACACGCTCCTCCACCACCCCCAGCCCAAAACATCTTGATCTCTGAACCGTAGACTCGGGCCCACGTCAATATGCAACCAACCCGATGTGTCAAGGCCGCAACCACTGGATGTGTGTTGACAGGCACGAGCTCAGGGTTCATACCAGCACTAGCGTCAGCCAAAACACCCCTGTTAGAAGAGGATGCAGGGGCAGATGCTGCTGCTGCAGCTCGTCCTTCTCCTGCTCTCACTCCTCCACCCATCTCCCTTGTCAGACCCAAGCTTCGCAGCCTTCTCCCAGACTCCTCAATAGCAGCATCCTCCACCTCTATCTTCATCAGATTGTTTCCATCGCAAAGGTACATTTGTGCTTCCTTCCAGTGCTCTGGCTTAGATAACACGGTAGCAGCAGCGAGGGCAAACTCAGCTGCACCTACACCACTCAAATGCATACCCTTCGGAGCACTGCTGCTGCTGCGGCTGCTGCTGCTGCTGCTGCCATCGTTGCTGCGGTTGCTGCTGCTGCTGCTGCCGCTGCTGCCATCGCTGCTGCTGTTGCTGCTGCTGGTGCTACCAACGCCACTACTGCTGAAATCCCTTTCCTCCCCTCCTTCATGCTTTAGGATCCAAGCCATCCCATCCACATACCTCTCCTACACAGACCCCTTCAAATTTTTGCTCCAGTTCTCATCCTTTCCGTCCCTCCCACAGTTGTTAACAAGCCCCGTTGAGAAAATTCTCTCTTCCCCTCCGCTGATCCCTGGCGTCGATGCTGACTCCTCCAGTCCTATGCTGGCCGCACTATCCAACCGTCTCGAGGCAGCCTCCGTTATCCGCCCCATCTCCCCAGCGCTCCCCTCCCGCTCTGTAATCCACTTTCCCACACAGCGTAATCTCCCCTTTCCCGGATGAGCCTTCTCAAGCAGATTTTGCACGAAGAACGCGAAGCCTTCCCTGTGTTCAGCAGTCCCCTTCACCCCGAGAATCTGCACCAGCATGGAAGCAAAGCGGTCGTCCTCTGTCTGCACGCCTGCACCAAGCTCAGCCACGATAGCTGGGAAGGCTGAACAGTGTGACTCCAAGTGAGCCTTCCATAAAGTCACAACGCGAGGGATGTCGAGAAGCTGACAGCACGGCGATAGGCAGCCCAGCAGCTGCTACAGCACCAGCAGAGAGAACACGTTGCAGAAGCAACAGCAGCACCAGCAGCAGCAGGAGAAGTGACATCCGTAGCTGCATTGGTAGCAGCGAAAATATACGGCAGGCGGGATCTGATTCTCCCCAAGTCCATGAGCACGCCCACGCGAGGCTCAGCAATCCACTCCAGAATCATAGCTTCCGCACAAAAGTGAGGCGCCAGCTCATACTTCTGCTTAAACAGCTCACGTTGCAGCTGTCCATTTGACCCCTCCGCCTGCAACTCTTCCATTACAGTCTTCAGAATGGCCTGCCTTATCCTATATAGGGGAGCAAGGGGGGTGGAATCAGACTGCCGTTTGCACAGGTGGGTGCGGAAGTCGTCCAAGTTCCTCATCTCAAGTACGCGCTGTGCACGGAAGCTGACTGCACGGTCGAAGCAGCACTCGCACTCATGTGGATTCCAGCCGGTTGTGTCGTTCAGGTACGTCACCATCTCGGTCCGACAGATCAGCCGAAGCTTCTCGTGACTCGACGCTGCAGGGGTGCGATCGGATTTGCTAGTCATCGCCGGTTAGAGCCAGTCAGTTGTGTGAAAAATCTGCTGCTTTTCCTTGAGGAGGAACCCGTGGGAGCAATGGCTCTGTTGACCACTGAAGAGCATAGGAAGCCTTCCTGATCACATCAGCTGCTATTATCAGACCACCTTGGAATCTGTCATGAAATGGCCTTGGTAATGGTGATGGATCACCAATGCTGGGTTGGGAAGATCGTCATCAGAGATCGTCGCCTGTGGAAGCATCGGACTATCGACTTCGAATGAATCTGATTGGGTGGAAAAATGCTCGACAATTTTCTCTTATCGTGGAAGCTGTTGTCACTCGACGATCCTGATTGTGTCGTGTGTGCGACCCCCTTGGTACTTGCGCCATGGAATGGGAGATCATCCGAGCGGGAAACGTGACTAACGAGGTCATCGAACTGAAGAGCGTGATCGGTCCGTCCAATCCCTCCCAGATAAGTCTAATCGGGTGGACGAAAAGCTCGGCGACCAGTCTGGTAATGTAAGCCGTTGGTGCGGGACGACGTAGATTGTTGTCCGCGGAACACCATGCTGTCATGACAGAGCGACTTAAAGCCCCCGTCTCATAATTACTAGAGTTTTACACTTGGTTGGAGCAGGCAAACTCTGATTGGTAGGCGAGGTAAAAAAAAAATGACGAAAACGAAACGCAAGTGGCGAGACAATTTTGTTCCGGTAAAACACCCGAACCAAAAACAGGTTTGGGGAAGGGTGGCTCGCGATAGGTTTTGCACATCAGTCTGGAGGTTCGTTTTACATCGGACGGTGCAGAAACCAATTTTCCTGCACAGCCAAATTCCACTTCGTTTACAGCGGTAGATTTAGTAATACACTCGCTGAACCGTCGGATCCGAACTTCTAGAAGATCGAACGGTCCAACGTCCCCATTCTTCCATGAACTTGCTCATTCTCATATTTCACTGCTGGTTTTACAATTGGTCTCGCCCCCCAGCAAGAAACACACTGTCCGAGGCACTTCTTGCCTGTCTCTTCATATTCGCCAGCGTAACTGGGTACCAAGCATTTTACACTTGGTCGGATCCTAGAATTATGAGACGGGGGCTTTAAGTGCTGCCATTGATAGTGTCAGATTCCTGCTCCTCGGGAATGCCAAAACGCCAGTACTGTACATCAAAACGCCAGGAAAAGCTGTGAAGAATGTCAGATTCCAACCCCTGGTGGGGGAGATCTTGGCCATCGCGAGAGTTTGGAATCCTCGCCGTTGATTTCACAACGTCGATGAGCCCCACCACGAGCCGAGAAAAGGTCTTTTCGGGGTGCCGTTCACGAACACGGTAGATGTCGGATTCAGTTCGTTTCAGAAGGCTCATACTGTATCCAGAACCGTCATTAGGGGTGCCACAAATAATGCATTCCTTGCGCCTTATTTTCGGACGACTCGCGACTCACTAAGGGAATTCTGCCACCCAATCGGAAAGGCATCAGCTGTCAAAGATCGCCTGCAGAAGTTTGGACGACAACCGAAGTTTGGACAGGAGAGTTGGTTTCTCAATCTGTACACCTATTTACCATGAAAACAGCAGACCATAGGTTTTGTTTTCAGTTTACCCTTTGCCGAGGCCCAGATCTCCACCTAAACGTGCACTGCAACAGTGTGTTTTAGCGAGAAATTGGCGGAGTAGTCGAGTCCCTATAAACTGCTTCGGATTGGGAAAAGTAGGATTATTCGATATTTAATAACACGAGTATACCCGTCATTTAGACTGTCATCCCGAGAGAAAGGAAAAGTGCCTCCCTTGTCCAAACTTCGGTTGTCGTCCAAACTTCTGAAGGCGACCAAAGACGCCCTGGAGCTTGAGCTTTTAGGCCTGATTGCAGGAGCTTGATTGCACGAGTGCCATCTTGGCTTGTGTTTCCATGAGGAAACTGTTAGCAGTAAATATCAGAGGATTCAATCGTAGTTTGTCGCGACTGCTGAGATCTGTTCAGGCCGGAAAGCAGCTGCAGAAATAAAGACGTTTCGGATCGTTACCAGATGGTCGCGTGAAGTTCCCCACGCGCTACTTAGACCTGACTCGTGCAGCGCGGATGTCCGTCGCCCCTGGCGGCGGCGGCAGCAGCGGCGGAAAGACTAACGCCAGCAGCAGCAATAGCGGTGGCAGTAACAGCACGTTTAACGCCGCTCGTGGTCCTAGCAGCAGTGGCAGCGGCAGCGGCAGCAGCGTCCCCAGCACTAGCAGCAGTCGCAGGCCCCTTCCCTCCATCTACGTCCCCAGCCATCCCTCCCATTCGTCCTTTTCTAAGCCGTCGCCATTTAATCGCTCGCCGACCCCATCCGCTGCTCCCTCCCCGTCGCTCCTCAACTCTCTCCGCGCGTTCCTCGCGCCGTTCTACCGCCTCTCGTCCGCGCGCGCGCACGTGAAGCTGACGCGGAGCAACATCGCAGAGCAGCTGCGCGAGTACCAGCGCCGGCGCCAGCACGACTGGGCTTCCGCCGCTTTCTATGCCGCCACCGCGCCCTCCGCGCCCGCCTCCGCCGCCGCGCGCAGGAGACGATGCGCGCTGGCGGTGCTTTTGGTGATACTCGCGTGCGCCGTGTGCGCGTCCGTGTACCTGTCCGTGCAAGTGTGGCATGGCATGCGATACGGATGGTCGACGCACGGAACTGCTGATAGCGCCGGGGAAACGGTGTACGAGCGAAGAGGGGGGGATGATCGAGGGGGGCGAGTGGAAGGCGGGGGAGAGAGAATAGGCGGAGGGGGGGAAGGGGGAGAAAGAGGAGGTGGACGAGAGCTGGAAACAGGGGGAACAGGAGGGGAAGTGGGTGATAAAGATGACGGGGATGGGGAGAATGTGAAGGGGAGGTTGAAAAATGGGCCAGAGAGCATAGGAGATGGGAGAACGTTGGTGATGGTGCAGGCTCTGCTGCTCCTGGTGACAGTGCTGGGTGTGGTTGCTGTTGCTGCCTGCTCCCGGCACCGGTGGCGCAAGGGAAGGAGGAGGAGGAGTGGCAGCAACAGCAGGCTGTTGCCCTCGTGACAGAGGTGTGTGCGGAGGGGAGGCGCGTGCGATGCGGATGCAGCTGGAAAGTGAGCAGGAGAAAAAAGAGAGCAGGCAGTTTGAATGGTTGTACGGTAGCTGAGGAGCAGTGGGACGAAGGCACTTGGGACCATCACATGTACTCGTTCTTTGTCTTCTATCTGATTTAGTATATCAACTGTAGAAGCCACAACACCAAAATGACACTAGTGTGTTAGAATACGTGAATGAATTACTAGAAGGGAAAACATGACACATATAGCAGTTGGGAGCACACACCGATACTAGCCTATAACTTCTACATGCATAACATGTATGAGTTGACACACCCCCTAGGCTAGAGAAGGGGTGGTGCAAGTAAGAAGCACACAGCTCAGGGTGGCACTACTTGTCAAACATAAGCATAACTCATGTTTGTATAGACTGTATAGGGTCGCCTTGTCAACTTATACATATTATCTATGTAGAAGTTATAGGCTAGACTGAGGTATGCTTCTAGTGAGTACAACCAACTAGTATTTGTTCTAGGTTTCAACCTCTAGTAATCATTCGTTTCTACGTTAACATGGTATCAGAGCGTCTGGGTTGCCTCATGTACCTGATGACTTGCACTCGCCCAGATCTCGCATACCCTCTCAGCATCCTGGCTCGCTTTGTGGCTACAGGCAGACACCGACCTCAGCACTGGTCTGCCGCTAAGAGGGTTTTGCGTTATCTTGCTAGTACATCAGGCATGGGGTTAGTGCTAGGAGGACGCAGGCCAGTGGTCCTTACTGGGCACACAGACGCTTCTTGGGCAGACGACGCTGAGACGCTCAGGTCGTCGCAGGGCTACTGTTTCAGCCTTGGTTCGGGTGCTATCTCTTGGAGATCCACTCGCTCGTCGTCTGTGGCTCAGTCTAGCTGTGAGGCTGAGATCTACGCTGGTGCCATGGCGGCACAGGAGCTCCGCTGGCTGACCTTCTTGCTCACAGACTTAGGTGAGCGGCCTAGCTCTGCCCCGGTCCTGTACGCTGACAACAGGGCCATGATACTCCTGTGTCAGGAGCCTCGGCTTGAGGGCAGAGCGAAGCATATCCAGCTGCGGTACTTCCTCCTGCGCGAGCTACAGCAGCGCCGCCAGGCCCGCGTAGTTCACTTGGCCTCAGGTGCCAACACAGCTGATATCTTTACTAAGGCGCTTGCGCCTAAAGATCATCAGCGGCACTGTGTACAGCTTGGTCTTGTTCCTATAGCTGCTCCCCTGTTAGGATCCTGATTGTGTACTCTCTATTATATATGCTTGTCAGACTGGCCTTGTGGCCTTACCTCCAGTGGCTGGACTAGTAGTGCCACCCTGGCTTGCTTCAGTTTTGGTTGTATTCTTGCTGACTGGTCTCCAGACCCCTGCCTCAGTGGTTGGACTAGTAGTGCCGCCCTGAGCTGTTTGCTTCTTGTTTAGTTTCACCCGTTGTCTAGCCTAGGGGGTGTGTCAACTTATACATATTATCTATGTAGAAGTTATAGGCTAGACTGAGGTATGCTTCTAGTGAGTACAACCAACTAGTATTTGTTCTAGGTTTCCACCTCTAGTAATCATTCGTTTCTACGTTAACACGCCTCTTAGAGGGTGCAACACTCTTAGGTATATACCCTTGTACTCTCTCTCTATTCAAACACTTCAGTTCTAAGATGGTATCAGCAGTAGGTAGGTCCCACCGCCCCCCCACGCTTCCGCCCTAGGATCTACCCCCGTGCGTCGCGCCCCCTAGGCCCCGTCGCGTCACCTAGGACCAGTCGCGCCCCCCCCTGGGCCCGTCGCGCCCCCCTTGGCACCGTCGCGTCACCTAGGACCAGTCGCGCCCTCCCCTGGGCCCGTCGCGCCCCCCCTGGGCCCCGTCGCGTCCCCTGGGCCCCGTCACGCCCCCCTGGGCCCCGTCACGCCCCTCTGGGCCCCGTCGCGCCCCCTGGGCCCCGTCACGCTCCCCTGGGCCCGTCGCCTGTCCCAGCCGGCCCCGCGCCTGTCCCAGCCGGCCCCGCGCCCGTCCCTGCCGGTCCCGCGCCTGTCCGAGCCGGCTCCCGCGCTTGTCCCAGCCGGCCCCGCGTCGACTTCCGGCCCTTCCTCGCCGGCCCTACGACCGTCCGATCTGCACTCTCCCTGGTACGGTTCTCTACCACCTTTCACCGCACTGTACCGCACAGCACCGCCCTGCACTGCCCTGCATCGCACTGCCTCGCCTTGCACCGCCCTACACCGCCCTGCACCACACTGCACCGCACTGTACAGTCCTGCACTGCCCCTGATGGCGGCGGAGCTTCACTTCGACGCTGAAGGCCAGCCTTTGGAGTTCGAGGCGTGGCTTGCCGACCTCCGGCGTCAACTCACTGGCCAGCGGCAGGATGGTGAATCGCTTTCCGCACACCTTGACGGTACGCTCCCCTGCCCAGACCCCCCTGCTGTTCTGCCCGTTGACTCCGCACCCACTGAGTGCGAGTCTACTGCTGCCACTGCCCGTGCGCGCTCTGTCTGGCTTTCTCGAGATGCTGTCGCTCAGCTTGCCATTAGCAATGCCCTTCCCCCGTCCGAGCGCCCCCGCTTTAGGTCCCTCACTACTGCCCAGGCTTACTTAGATGCTGTCATCAAGCGCTATTCCACCCCTCCGGCTGCCTCGGTGGGTCGCCTGATCCTCCCGATGCTCTTTCCTGACCTTGCGTCTTTCCCCACTGTCTCTGACCTCGCTGCCCACCTGCGCTCGATAGATGAGACCTGGCGCGCTGCCTGCACTGACGCACAACTTAGAGCCCACTAGCCGCCCATTACCTCTACCCTTTACCTGCTTGCCACCCGCCTCCCTGACCGCCTTGCTGTCGCCCGCGACCGCTTCCTTAGCATTCACCCCGCAGACCTCACCCTCACTGACTTTGTAGACACCCTGACTGTGATTGAGACCCGCCACCGCTCCATCGCCCAGACGAGCGGTACCGTGCCGGTCCCTATCTTTCAGGGTTGTGCCCCCGCTCAGTGTTCTTTCTCCGACGGCTCTGCCGCTGTGGCTGAGACTGCTGCTGCAGAGCAGTTTCGTTTGGGGAAGGGCCGCCGCCCCAAGGTTGGGCGCGGCGGAGGAGGCGGGGGTGCGGGAGGGGGTGGTGGTGGAGTCGGGTCGTCTGGTGCTGGAGCGGACGAGGGGACCCTGCCCAGTCCAGCTGAGCCGCCGCCCCTGCAGTCGCAGCAGCAGCAGCAGCAGCCGCAACAGCCGCCGCAGTCGCAGCAGCCGCAGCCTTCGCAGCAGCAGCTGCAGACGCGGCAGACGAGTGTCCTCCCGCCCGGGTGGCCCGGCGCTGGCGGTGGTCGGACGCGTGGTGGTGTGCCGAGTGGTGGTTCCTGGAGGCGTGCGTTGTCAGTACCAGATCCAGACCGGTCCTCGCCGCGGCTTCGTTTGCGTTAAGATCGGTCACTCCACTCCCCGCTGTTTTCGTCGCCTGGACGACCTGTTTCGTCAGCTCTTCGGCCCGTCGCCAGACCTCCCGGACTGGCACAGTTTGCTTAGTCGTAAGATTCAGATTTTTGACATGGACATGGATGCCATTGTTTCTGCTCTGCATGTGATGTATGCTGATGACTCTAGTGTGCTTCCCGCCTATTACTCACTGTCGGATAGTGTAGGTGTGCCTAGCTTAGCCTCCCCTGCTGCGTCAGGCGTAGGATCCCCTGCTTTGTGTAGTCTTGGTGCTTCCGCCGTCGTTCCGTCGCCAGACGCCTCTGCTTCGCTTTCCTTCACCTTGGACTCTGGTGCTTCCTGGTGTTTCTTCCGCGACTTCACCACACTGACGCCGCTTCCTGTTCCTGCTGCCGTTTCTCTTGCTGACCCCTCCGGCGGTCCGGTAGTCGCCCGCAGTTCCACCACCCTTCCCTGTCCGGCGGTTCCTTCGGGCACTCTCACAGGTCTGCATATCCCCTCGTTCTCCAGAAACCTAGTTGGTGTCGGCTGCCTCCAGGACCTTGGCGTCACCACTACGTTCCCTGGTCACGAGCGGTATGCTGTCTGTACCGAGGCCGCCACGGGTGCCCCCCTGTCCACGTTCCCCCGGGACCCGGTGTCCGGCCTGTTCACTCTGGACACCGTGACCCCCCCGGCTGGAGCGCTCCCTCAGGTGGCTGCGTCTACCTTGGTTGCTGCTGCCTGCTCCTGTCGGTCCCTCACTCACCCGACTCTCCTTTGGCACCACCGCCTAGGTCACCCTGCGCTCCCGCGTCTGCGTCACATGTCCCAGCACGGTCTTGTCCTTGGTCTCCCAGGTTCTCTCCCCGCGTTTCCCTCCTCCCCAGCCCCACCTTGCACGCCTTGTGTCGAGGTTCGGCTTCGCCGTGCCTCTCACTCCTCCTCGTTTCCCCCTACCGCCGCGCCGCTGCAGACCCTGCACCTGGACGTCTGGGGCCCCGCCCCCGTCCCTGGGCCGCGTCGCGAGCGCTACTTCCTTGTGCTAGTCGACGACTTTACTCGCTACACCACAGTCTTTCCCCTGGAGCGCAAGGCCGACGTGCCTGGCGCTCTCATCCCCTGGCTTGTCTCTGCGCGTGTCCACCGTGGTCTCCCTGTCTTGCGTCTTCATTCCGACCGTGGTGGCGAGTTTGCCTCAGGTGTCCTTGGTCGCTTTTGTCGTGCGGAGGGCATCACCCACATGTTCACCCTACCGGACTCCCCACAGCAGAATGGGGTCGCTGAGCGACGCATCGGTTTGGTCATGGAGGTGGCTCGCACCTCCATGATCCATGCCGGTGCACCCCATTTTCTGTGGCCGTTCGCTGTGCGCTACGCTTCTCACCAGCTTAACCTGTGGCCGCACCCTCAGCAGCCGCAGGTTTCCCCGACTCGTCTTTGGACTGGGTCTCCTGGTGACGCGTCTGCGTTCCACGTCTGGGGCTGCCTTGCTCACGTCCGTGCCTCCGGCACGGACAAGCTCACTGCCCGCACCCTTCCCTGCGTCTTCCTCGGCTTTCCCCTTGACGCGTCCGACTGGCACTTTTACCACCCGCCGTCTCACCGCTTCTTTCACTCTCGCGACGTCACCTTTGACGAGTCAGTCTCCTACTACCGTCGCTTCCCCCACCACGGTCCCCCGGTTACCCCCCCCCTGTTCCTGGTCACTCCTTCCCCGGTTGTCCCTGCCCCTCCCCCTCCTCCTCCCCGTCCTGCCCCCTCTGGTGTGTC